TGCTGGAGACGCTGGCTCGAATCCGGCTCGGAGCGGGTCGACGTACTCATATTAACCAAAAAAAAAGAGATAAGGCATACTGTAGAGATAAGACGTACTGTAGTACGTCTCAAGTTTTTAAAAGTTTACTCTAAATGTGTAATATAAATAATTCTCATAATCGGCTGTTGAGATGGTATTCTCAAGTGAAACGAGTGGAAGCTTGGAAGAGGTCACCCAACAAGCGGATAGTCTAGTCTCCTGTGCGCTTTGCATGGGGAGTGGCTGTATTTGTATATAAAGCATTCCAAAATATCACTTATGAGGCCCGATTTCAGTCAGGATTATGCCTTGACTTAGCCTATAGTATGACAGTGTAAAAACATGCAGCTTCAGGCATGACTAAGTACATTCGCGCATTCTTACGCCAAAGACCATCAGTCAAACACAGCATTAAGAAACGTGGGAGGAAAACTACAGCAAAATATGACGTCTGTATGGCTAAAACCTCTAGAGTGCATTGGCGCAGGGCCGAATGTACAGTCATGTCATTAAGATTGGACGTGCCGGACGATTATCTCAGGGTCTCACATGTTGTGGGATAAAATCATGCCGTTGTGGGGAAAATAACTGACCAGTGAATGTGCCAACCAGATTGCCTGACTGCAATGATAATCAAGAGAAGCGGAGCCTTTTCCCAGCTGCAAGTTTGAGGCTCTGTAGGGGCTCAAGTCTCGATGTTGGCTCCTAGTGTGAGTTAGTGCTGAGAGTCTGCAGCTGGAGCTTTTGGCCTCAGAGCGGAGAGCGTCTGACAGGGAGGACTTCGATGTGTTTCTGTTGGAAGAACAGGCTCTTATTGCTAGTGTAGGGCAGTGAAAATCAACACCTCACCTGCAAAACTGACCTGACAAATGGCAGGTTCAGGGTTAGTACTACCCAGTAATTGTAGTTACTAAAATAAGTACATAGTATTTACATGGGTAACGGGACTGTAAAAGGAAGCGTTACCCATTATTCATATGTGTGTTTTTTTGTGGCAAGTAACAGACATTGAGAAGGCCCATTGAAGTGCCTTGGAACGTGCAGCTTTGTATGATGCGCTTTCGTTATTTCCACTGAAACAGGAAGCTAAGGCAGGACATTGAATGGCGCCTCCCTGTTTTCAAATAACCAATAGCGTTTAGTTTACCTCACAGACTGCAAGTTGTACTTGACAGCACTATGGAAGAGAATCCGAGCGCTGATAATACTTCAATAGGCCTATGTCACACTTCCTGAGAGTTTTTTGTGAGAGTTTTCATTTACCATCCGAACCACATCGTCATATGTGACTTCAGGCAGGTTGCGGAGAGATTTGGTCCAGCGGTATCTATCCACCGGACTCCACCATTGTAAAAACCTAACCGGAAAAGGCGTATCCCTACTAAAAGACGTACTCACGGTCTTCAATTTTTCATGACATAGGCCTATAGGTGTGAATAAATTCTAGCCATTTCATTCAAAACCAAATTACAGTTGGAAAACGCTAGAAAACTCAAGCGTTTGAGCAACCAAACATTCATTTTCAGTGTTGGGAGTAACGCATTACAAAAGTAAACCTTACAGTAACATATTACTTTTTGCTGTAACGCAGTAGTGTAAGGCATTAGCCTACTAATCAATTTTCAGTAATATTTTACTCATTACATGTTCAGTGAGGCTTGTATTACAGTTGTATTACAGTGTATTGTCTGCTTTTACTTCTTAAAGGCAACAGACTATGTGAAAGTTTTAAAGCAGTCTTTTAGTGCCAGTTCAGAGCGGTCGCGTCTGTAACATTGTTTTTTCCTCATAAATGCGAACACGAAAACTAAAATAAAATGAATATTTTAAGTTCTATGGAGACTGCAGAGCCAACCCTTCCTCATCCAATTTGCGCAGTTTAATTAACAGACACAAAAAATATATTTTGCCTCCTATTTTTTGTCACGCATGAATGTGTGTCTTTTCCCTAATATTAAAAATAAAACATAGACTGATATTTTTCTAATGTCTGGAGTCCTTTAAGGAAGTAGCCTATATACGTTTCAATACATGTATTTTCTGAGAATTTTTATTTCAAGTTTTGACTGCAAATGCCATGTCCATAATGCTGGACTTCCCCAATTTTAAATAATTTATCCTCAACTAGTTTTGTGGTGTAGGTCTACGTATTTTATAATGTTAACTTCAAATAATACTAATAGCCTAATTTAAAGATAAGGCAGCATTGGATATGCACGGTAAGGAGAATAACGCTGGGAGTTGGAAGAGGTGTGTCGCGATTCAACGCGTTCGCGATTCTGTAGGTTCGTGGATGTGGCGAATCGCGATTTCGGTTTCATATTGCATATCGTTACAGCCTCAAAGTTAAGTTCTACTTAGTTATTTCGGTGAAAGTAACTCAAAAGTAATACATGAGTAATGTACAATTCTGAGACAGTAATATTGTAAGGTAATGAATTACTTTTAAATAACAGTAACAAGTAATACCTAATGTATTACAGTTTGGAAGTAACTTGCACAACACTGTTCATTTTCAACCCATATTACTCTGTGACATGTCAGCTGTCGCTTTGGCCAGGTGGTATGGGACGTCTTTTGACCATGTCAACATCCGCCTTTTTAGGGTACCCTTAAACGTCGGTTAGATGACGTTATCGGATCCTAACCCTACCCCAGACCTAAACCTACCTCGTCACCTAACCGACGTTAAAGGTAAAGCGTCAGTTGTATGACGACCCGGGATCGTCATGTAACCGACGTTTAAGGGTACCCTAAAAAGGCGGATGTTGACGTATGGTCAAAAGACGTCCCAATACGTCAGTTATATGACTTCTTGGGATAAGGCTATTTAATATAGCAAAGGGATGGGATGCTTTAGATTCTACAGAGCATTTGATTGGACAGAAGATGTGATGAGAAGCTGATCTCCGAGGTGATGTCATTAAAATGTGTGATCCATTTTTGAATGTTTATATCTCTTTAATGCAACATTTTGTCATAGTTGTGGAGCACATTATCCCAGGTTAACATATCATGCTAAAAGCTAAAAAAAATTATTTCACTGGGCTTTTAAGGAAGTATGAGTGCAAAAACAAGTTAAGTAATACGTTATATATGACTATTTAAAAAAAAAGAGGATTCTGAGAAACTAAATTTGTGTAGATAAATATGTGTCTAGAAATACAAAACACAAATGTACAGATGTCACATGGGGTAAGCTCCATTAACATTTTAAGAGGAACGCTTTGCAAACATCAAAGATTTAGTAACTTACTCTTTGCGCTATAAGTCAAATGCACCATCAAGCTGCGACAGTATCCGTGTTCTTGGCTCATTTTACCCAGATCATTGAATCAGTGAGTTGTTGACTCAAAATCAGTCCGATTCACAAATGAATCATTCAGATGTGATGATTTGTTAACCAATTCAGCAGGTTATTTGGAAAGAATCAACTTGTTCACGAATTATCATCTACCAACCCGAACCCAAACATCTAATAACCAGAGTCTACAGTCAACTAATACTCTAATGAGAGTTAGTTGACATGTAGTTGCAAAGTTACTTATAGTTAGTAGAGTGTTTAAAGTGGACCATCGAATTAAAGCGTAGGCCCTAACCCTAAAGTGCAATACCTCATCTTCATTGAGGTGGGCTCAGAGCGGGACGCCTCCTCTTCAGAGTCACAGTGGCCTCCCTCCAGTCTCTCTTGGCTCAGGCCCTGTCTTTCCATCCTGCACAGTGTCAGCTCAAAGGACCATTGCTCAACACAACTATCCATGCAAGTGTCAAAGTGTGCAAGCCATTGCAAAAAGAAAAATGAGCATACTCATGTAGATGCAAGCACAAACACATTTACATACACTCATATCTCTTCACATCTGCCTTTGTCACTGTACAGGAGATGACCTTCCTGTTTTCCTGTGAAGCTCAACACACATTGCAGTTCAGTGATCAGTAGACACACACAGTGATTCAATAGCGCCATCTTGAGGTTGGTTATGGTACACACAGACTGAAGTCTGAGCAGAGGAGAGGATTTAGAAGATTATCCTTCACAGGACTTTAAACCTCTCACACAGTAAAAAAATACAAAAAGGGACCATGGAGTACCTTTCTAAATAGCTATATAAAATATAAGGTACACTACCATTCAAAAGTTTGGGATCTGTAAGATTTTTAAAAAGTATTTTTACATGCTCAACAAGGATGCATTTTCTTTCATGAAAAATACAGTAAAACTTTGTTTGTATGCCTGAAGAAGGTCGCAAGACCTTATAAATTGATGTTGCACAGTTTTTGAGTGTCTGCTATTTTTTTTACAATTTTTTATGTATATACAGTCAGGTCCATAAATATTGGGACATTGACTCAATTCTAATCTTTTTGGCTCTATACACCACCACAATGGAGTTGAAAAGAAACGAACAAGATGTGCTTTAACTGCAGACTTTCAGCTTTAATTTGAGGGTATTTACATCCAAATCAGGTGAACGGTGTAGGAATTACAACACTTTGTAAATGTGCCTGCCACTTTTTAAGTGACCAAAAGTAATGGGACAGATTAACAATCATAAATTAAACTTTCACTTTTTAATACTTGGTTGCGAATCCTTTTCAGTCAATTACAGCCTGAAGTCTGGAACGCATAGACATCACCAGATGCTGGGTTTCATCCCTGGAGATGCTCTGCCAGGCCTCTATTGCAACTGTCTTCAGTTCCTGCTTGTTCTTGGGGCATTTTCCCTTCAGTTTTGTCTTCAGCAAGTGAAATGCATGCTCAGTCGGATTCAGGCCAGGTGATTGACTTGGCCATTGCATAACATTCCACTTCTTTCGCTTAAAAAACTCTTTCGCAGTATGCTTCGGGTCATTGTCCATCTGCACTGTGAAGCGCCGTCCAATGAGTTCTGAAGCATTGGGCTGAATATGAGCAGATAATATTGCCCGAAACACTTCAGAATTCATCCTGCTGCTTTTGTCAGCAGTCACATCATCATCAATAAATACAAGAGAACCAGTTCCATTGGCAGCCGTACATGCCCAAGCCATGACACTACGACCATGCTTCACTGATGAGGTGGTATGCTTTGGATCATGAGCAGTTCCTTTCCTCTTCTCTTCCCATCACTCTGGTGCAAGTTGATCTTTGTCTCATCTGTCCATAGGATGTTGTTCCAGAACTGTGGCGGCTTTTTTAGATGTTGTTTGGCAAACTGTAATCTGGCCTTCCTGTATTTGAGGCTCACCAATGGTTTACATCTTGTGGTGAACCCTCTGTATTTACTCTGGTGAAGTCTTCTCTTGATTGTTGACTTTGACACACAAACACCTACCTCCTGGAGAGTGTTCTTGATCTGGTTAACTGTTGTGAAGGGTGTTTTTTTCACCAGGGAGAGAATTCTTCGGTCATCCAGCACAGTTGTTTTCCGTGGTCTTCCGGGTCTTTTGGTGTTGCTGAGCTCACCGGTGCGTTCTTTCTTTTTAAGAATGTTCCAAACAGTTGATTTGGCCACACCTAATATTTTTGCTATCTCTCTGATGGATTTGTTTTTTTTTTCAGCCTGATGATGGCTTGCTTCACTGATAGTGACAGCTCTTTCGATCTCATATTGAGAGTTGACAGCAACAGATTCCAAATGCAAATAGCACACTTGAAATGAACTCTGGACCTTGTATCTGCTCCTTGTATATGGGATAATGAGGGAATCGCACACATCTGGCCATGGAACAGCTGAGAAGCCAATTGTCCCATTACTTTTGGTCCCTTAAAAAGTGGCAGGCACATTTACAAAGTGTTGTAATTCCTACACCGTTCACCTGATTTGGATGTAAATACCCTCAAATTAAAGCTGAAAGTCTGCAGTTAAAGCACATCTTGTTCGTTTCTTTTCAAATCCATTGTGGTGGTGTATAGAGCCAAAAAGATTAGAATTGTGTCAATGTCCCAATATTTATGGACCTGACTGTAAAATAAACAAATTAATAACATATTCAAGAGATGATGATTTGGGGTTTTCGTAATAAAAAAGAATATCTTTAAGGATAAAACTGTGGGTCACGTTAGTAGGGTCAAAAACATAAGATGCCAAATGCATTGGCTACTACTATCACAAAGTAAATGGGCTGTTTTGTCAACAAGACAACAAAATGAGCAAGCTTCATCAAGATCAAGATATTTACAGATTAAACCTATTATTAAACCAGTGTTAAACCTGACCCTCATATCTTTTAAGTTGTTGCGCTTGTGATCAGCTGGCAGAGAGTAAAAAGTACATACTGTATTGGCCTAATGGGTGGAGAGTATCCAACCAAATCTGAATGCAATTTGGGTGGATGATGGGACAGCATGGTTTTGGTCATTGGAAAATTATTACCAATAGAGAACCATTGTTTATGCTCTGTATGCTCTAAATCACTAGTTCCCAAAATCTTTATTTGTGCAAGCCCTAAACCAAAAAAAAAAAAAAAAAAAAGAACTAGCTAGATTTTGCTAAAAATAAAATGACCACATCCTGAAAATAGAAACTTAGCTAAACATCTTTTACTGATTTTGTTGCAGTAATAAACCATATTAATCATTTTCATTAAAGGTTTGTTTGTCAAACAGATAAATGGTGATGCCACCCAACATGTCATCCAAATTTATATTTGTGTATACAGACTATATATACAGTATATATATATGTGTGTGTGTGTGTGTGGGGGGGGGGGGGGATCAGTTTACCTTTTTTAACCTCTATTTAACCAGGTAGGAACATAGAGGACTCATTCTCATTAAAAACAGCGACCTGGCCAAGATAAAACGTCAAAGTGCAGACATGTTACACATTAAGGACAGGACTGGTTACAAACAGTTAGTCAAAGTGCATTGTGCAAAGTAAGTCAAAAATACAGTATTCCTAATGTAACAATAATAATGATGAAATAAATAATTAAACAGTGAAATGCAGTGAACATTATTGACCAATAACAATACAGGAAGAAAGGATAATAATTAATTGCACAGAGGGGAAATGATTATGCTAACATGAACAATGGTGTCAGTAAGTTAGATCAGAATTTTTGGTCCTGAAGCATTTTTTTATTTGATTTTTAATCATTTTTGGTGTTGTACTGTATGAATTGTGGATGGATTTATAAACACTGAGAAATTAAGTTGAACAGAAATAAACACGACTCTAAACAATGAACAGAAAAAGAAACAGAATTGCATATAAGATTATATCAAAGTATGAACTTACTTGAGCAATACTGCTTACATTAACCTAAATGAATGAAAAGATGTACTGTCCCAATCCTAAACGTTGTGTCCCAATCACCCAAATATAGGACGCTTTTGCAAAAGCGTAAATATCCAACGCACATGGCACCCTTTAACGTGAAATGAGACGCAGATATATTTGGGCAGATGGCGCCCCCTAGTGGTCTAACCCTTACCCCACACCATACCTAAACTTAACCATTAACCGAAGCGTCTCATTAGACGTTAAAGGGTGCCATGTGCGTTGGATATTTACGCTTTTGCAAAAGCGTCCTATATGGCGCTTTGGGATGAGAACGTTTGAATATTACCAAAAGGCCCAGTTTAAAGTTTATGTCACACATCCTTTCATTATAAAAAACTGTTTTCTTGTTCAAATGGGTATTGGTAACATCTTCAGTATTACAGAAATGTATCACTGGGCTGATGTTTTTAATTTATGGCAAGAAACCTTGCACAAGGCGGAAATTTACAGGCATAGTTGTGTTTGTTTCAAATTTTACAAGCCATATTAGCAAAAAGACAAACGTGCACGCATAATCATGATGTAAAAACTCACACATCTCTTAACATCTGCCTTTGTCGTTACAGGATGTATACAGTGATCAGTAGACAAACACAGCGCCATCTTGAGGTTGACAATTTATTAACTACAAAAAAAAAACAAACATGTTTTTAAGTTTTAAAATCAAGACAAAATTACAAAGTTACAAAAATATGCACCTTTGGCCCGACAGAAACAGAACAATAGGCTCCACGAGGCTGGAGTTTATGGAAGGAATGCCATTAATTCCTAAACCAAGGATCCAAGAGCAATACGCACATGCTGTTGTAATGACCATATAAATATAATGGTGAGGATCAGTTTACCTAATGTTTTTTGTACTAATTTTTGGTCCTGAAGAATCTTTTTAGAATTATTTATTAGATTTTTAATCCTTTTTGGACTGCTTTTACCTCAATATTATACTGTATGAATGGATTTATAAATATTTAGAAATAAAGTTGAACAGAAATGAAAAGAAATATTGCAAATAAAATTTTATTATTTTATGTTGGTATTGTGCCAAAAGATATACAACTTCATTCAGAAATAAACATTATAGTTCTTATATGGTTTAATTCAATGTTCATTCATTGGATAAAAGCGTTTGGCAAATGCGTAAATGGAAATGGAAATGTATATGGGTTCAAAAATGGGTTGTGAAAAAGCATTGAGGAACTTTCAACCTATGCAAACTATACAAATACAGAGAAATGAGACTAAAAGAGTACATTAAAGACACTTCTGCTTTTGAATGAGAAAACTGCAAAAGTCAATTACACTCCTGACCTCGACAAAGTGACTATGACATCATGTGATCTCCACATCATAAAGATTGTTTCCTTGTGATTTTGACATAAACACCATGACCTGTTATCAAACACCAGCATTCATTAAATTCTGTACCTTACACTCTTACCTGTACCTAAAGACTCTTATTGGCATCGATGGTTCCATGAAGAACCTTTAAAATCCATGGAACCTTTCCATTGGACAAAAGGTTCTTAATAGTGGAAAAGTCTTTACTTAGTCTTTGGGAAACCAATAATGGTTCTTCGTGGCATCATTGTGAAACCCCCCATTTTGGACTCTTATTTTTTAAGATTGGGAGCACTGTATTTCTGCTGTAGACTAATGTAGAGTTTTGATCAGAAGCTGATGAATAAAAATCACAAACATGAAAAACAATTGTGTAATCTTTACTGAAATGTGATGTGAAAGGGTGGCCAGTTGGGTGTTGAAATCAGTCAACACTAAAGATCTTGTAAGACATTTTGAGGGGAAGTTTTAAATTTGACATAATTGTTTGGTGTGAACCTCTGTTAACCTATTCCAAATATCTACATGTTAAATGTTGATCTGATCGATTTGTTGATGGGATGGAGAAAGATAATATGTTTATGCTTTCAAAATGTTATTAAAATGTATAAAATTCACTATCACTATTTATATGCTCCCAAGCACTTGCTGTGGTATTCCACCATACATTATAGTTATCCACTTTACACGCTTAGAAAAGCACAACATTTTATTTTGCGTCACCGTCCTAGGTCGAGTTACACTGCTCGTGTAACTGTATTTAAATAGGGAAAACTTGGAGGTGTTTGGTCGCTTCTCTGCTTGGCCCATTCATACAAAATAAAATGTGGATGCATGCTTTATTTGTTTATATGCGAGTGATTTCATATGTGGATGTGCGTGAACTTTTCAGTGTAAAAGGAAGTCATTTAGTGTAAAGGAAGTAATTTGTGTGTACACGGAATTAACACCTGCCTATTTACCGCATTTGCAATCACGGAGAGGGATCGTGCTACAACTAAAGCAACTAGCCTTTTGCAAAATGTGCTTGAAGGCCCACTATTATAAGATCAATTTGCTAATCATAGGATCCATAGTATCCGCCTCATCTCCACAACAGTTCAAAAACATTTTATTCAAAATTAGTCTTTACACTTTGGCTTTAATAAAATTTCCAAGAAAAGGGCAAGAATGCTGTCCTCCATGATCCACCCGCTGTCCATGATGTTACAAGAATGAAACAATATAATCGATTTGGAAAAAAAAAAATCTGATAGAGTTTGCACTTGATACTAATAAAATTGCAGTTGTGTCCTGTATAACCTCAGGTTATGACAGGCTGACAACCTCAAGACAGTAGACGTGGATACAAACAGTTAAATGGATCATATTTCCTTAAGTCACAAACTGATCTCATGAAATGGCGAGTGTATGACACACCAATTCGTATTTCCATTTTTGGCGTGCTATCAATGCGCATAATCGCTTTTCAGCGTGTTTATGAACAGCGTTGACTTAACGTTACATTACTGTATAAATATATGACCTACCTCAAACCCGTCCCTAAACTACCCGTCATGATGTCATGTTGGGTTAATAGCATTTATGAGTCTTCCCCTACCATCCTAGGAAAAAATGTTTGCTTCATTTCGCTCGTACATTTAACGGCGTGTACATACACGAGGAATCACTCGGACACCAATGGCGTAGACATACACGCACGTGGATAGCCAACCCGATCTCACGACCAAGTCGTACGAATTTAACGAATGATTAAAAAGTGGCTAATTCGTAACAATTCATACGACCTCACTCGTACGAATTCATACGATTTTGCTAAATCGTACATATTTTACGAATTGGCCAATTCGTATGAATTCGTACGAATGACCTACCCCTTACCCCGCCCCTAAACCTAACCATCACGTGGGTTTAGACAAATTGTACGAATTAGTACGAGTGAGGTCGTACGAATTAGTACGAATTAGCCACTTTTTAATCATGCGTCGAATTCGTACGAATTGGTCGTGAGATAGTGTTGGGATAGCTCAAAATGCGTATAGATAACACGACAACTTGACTTGAAAGTGTCGTGTATGTTTACGCAAAAGTCATGATGTAATGTTGCTTAAAGTAGTAAAAAGATGATACATTATAAACTTATAAAATATGATGATACATAATAAACTCATCTGGCGGGAACACCAGTGTTTCTTATTTTGCTCTTACCCAATTCTCAGTGCCATTTGAGTTCAGTTTAGAATCAAAAGAACACAGTGCAGTCAGTCAGACGTACACTCTTACAAGAAAAGTTTCTATATAGAACCTTAAAATGTTCTATCAGCACTACGTATTTGGAACCCCTAAAAGATTCTATACAGAACCCTTTAGGGTTCTTTGTAACCAGGAAAAAGATTCTATATGGAACCTTTTGGGTTCATTCATTATCATTTGTTCTGTCCTTTCTGGATTAAATATTTCATATTATTGACAAACATCAAGACCCTAAAATGTATTGATGAATGCATATGAATGACCACAAAATTCAAGATATGGGGGTAAGAAAATGTATATATTTTTATCATTTTATGTAGTTAATCACAAAGAGTGCCATTTCAGTTTTTCTCCTCCATGATTAATGTGACATTAAGTTACAACAGCTTAATAAAGGATAATTTAATTACAAACTACAAAATGTTGCAGAATAATGCAATATATGAATGAATAATAGCCTAAAGAACATTTGTGCCAAAAGGGTTCTTTCTCGTCATTATTGAACCTTTTTTTAGCATAAAATGTCTTTTGGAGTTGAGTAAAGAACCCTATGCTTCATATCTAGAACCCCAAAGAACCCTTTTTTTCTAAGTGAAAAACAAAACAAAAAAAGCTTTTGAAAGCTCTAGGAATGGAGCAGATCCAGTCCACACCCCACAGAACCTCGAGTTTAAATGACACATCAGGCCCACTACTGCACCACAGACAGAGGTCAACAGCATAGTTTCATCTCTCAATTTCTCCAATCAAGTCATTTATGTTTGTCTCTTATCCAGTTTTCATTTGAGTTTAGAATCAAAAGGAGGATGCAGAAATAAAATCCAGCTCATTCAGTAAATGCACAGCTAAACAGATGTGTTTTAGGTCTGGATTTGAATCTGTATTTCTGAGTGATCTGTTGGGTTTATATTGAGTGAGCATATCTGCAATATATTAATCCATTGAATGATTTATATACCAGTGACAAAATACTTTAAAATCAATCCTAAATGTAACTGGGATCTAATGTAAAGACCTGAGGACTGGTGTGATATGTTCATTTCTGTCAGGATTACTATTGTCAAATGCGTTTGACAATTAGCCTACAGTTTGGATTGGTGGTGTGGTTACGTTCTGGGCGAGAACTCCGTGCGCATCCATCCAGCCTAGCACACTTTAAAAAAAATATTGTTGGTTTAACTTAAAAAAGTAAGTAACCTGGTTGCTTTAAAATTTTAAGTTGATTGAACTGGAAAAAGTGAGTTAATACAATGAAGGAGATTATTTTAATCATCATAAACTCAAAATAATAAGTTATCTCAAATAAATAAATTATTTAAGTAGATTTGACAAAGGAAAATATGTTGTGATAACAAATCTTGAAAATATCTATCAACACTTGATATTTTCTAGTTCAGCTGTGTTCTGTATGAGCTGTAACTGTCTTATAAGGCCAGTGAGGAGGCCATTACAATAATCCAGTCTTGTCTTGTCTGGAAACAAAGTATCTAATTTTTGCAATATTTAATAGAAGATAGTATGCTGATTTAGTAACTGCTTTCACTGTAAAAAAATATTTTCAAGATTTGTTATCACAACATATTTTCTTTTGTCAAATCAACTTTATAATAATCTATTTAGTTGAGATAACTTATTATTTTGAGTTTCTGATGATTAAATCATTCTCCTTCATTGTATTAACTCACTTTCTCCAGTTCAATGAACTTAAAATTTTAAGGCAACCATGTTACTTACTTTTTTAAGTTAAACCATCAATATTTTTTTACAGTGTTGACATGATTACTGAAACTAAGGTCTGACTACAGAATCACACCGAGATTTCTGACTTGATTTTTAGATGTTTCGTCTGCATAGCTGTGGTGAGCAATTTGGTTCTTTCTCATTATTTAGCTCATTGGGGAGCATATACAGGCTGAGAAGTGGTGCAATAATTGAGCCTTGAGGGACTCCACATGTCATGGGTGTCCTTATGTTCTCCTATACGAACGTAATAACCTCTCCCTTCTATGACCTGAACCATTTTAGGACTATCCCAGAAAGCCTGTCAAGCATGTTATGATCGACAGTGTCAAATCTAGCACTGAGGTCGAGTACTGCCAGAAATGATGTTCTGTGTGTATCAGTATTTAAACGAATATTGTTTATTATCATTATGAGCACTGTGTGCTGTGATGCGGTTGGAAACCAGATCGAAAATTGTCAAAGTATCTATTTGAGATTAAGAATTTGTTCAGATGATTGAAGACAACTTTTTCAATGATCTTGCCTATGAAAGGAAGATTTGAGATCGGTCTGTAATTACTCAATATGTTGCTATCCAGATCCCTCTTTTTTTCAGGAGGGGCTTGACATCTGCAGTTTTAGGGGACTTTGGAGAAGTGAGGCATTTACCACTTAGGAGATAATGTTTCTAAACAGTTTAAAACACATTTGAAAAAGGAAGTGTGTTAAACACTTCCTTTTAAAGCAAAAGACTGAAATGAAAATTAAAAGACTGAAGTGAAAGAGTAGGCAGTTAGTGTGGTTTTGAAATATATATTTTTATATTACAAATGTTACATAATCAGTAACCGGGAACCTCAACTTATAATATCCGTTTGCAAATGTTGTATCCAATCTGGAAATTTTTATTTGAGAAATTTTGCAATGCAATTTCCTCCTCTCCCCTGGCATAAAAACAAAATAAAGCTTTACTCAAAATTTCTTGCTAGGACATTTTAATCAGACCAAAAATCGTGTTATACAATTTAACAATTAATTTTTGAATCTCAAAAGATGTTTTCGAGGCATGATATTTCCAGGTACTTATGACAGAACTACACTGCAAGAAATGTTTTTCAATGTAAAATAAAAAAGATTATTTGAGTATATACTTTACAAGTAGGGAGGTCAAACGATTAATCGGGATTAATCGCGTCCAAAATAAAAGTTTGTGATTACAAAATATATGTGGGTGCACTGTGTATAATTATTTTGTATATATATATATATATATATATATATACACACGCACACATGCATGTATATTTAAGAAACAAATATTATTTATATATAAAATATTTATATTTACATATCATATAAATTATATTTAAATCTATATACAGTACATGAAAATATTTCTTAAATATATACAAGCATGTGTGTGTATTTATATATACAGTATAAAATAATTATACACAGTGCACCCACATATATTATTTAAACACAAACTTTTATTTTGGATGAGATTAATCGCGATTAATCGTTTGACAGCTCGATTTACAAGTAATACTATTTCAGTGTTTCTACCTCCAAATTTGTTTCCAACATGTGTTACTGTTTATTTTTTTTTTATTTATGAAATTTACTAGCAATTACAATATATTTAAACAAATATATCTAGCTTTGAAAAAAAATATCACTGCAAAAGGTGTGCATAGAACCGCGCATGTGCGAGTGACTTGAAAACAAAGTCCACTAGATAATGTGCATGCGGAGAATGCTAAAGCTGTAGGCTATAATTTGAAAGGCTTTGCACTAATGTGTGCAAGACTGAGCGTAACGTGGAAAATTAAGTAAAATCAGGTAAATCTGTCTTTGTGAAGCCTGAAGGCCGTGTGAGTCAAGCCACATACAAGGTTATCCAGGAAGAGAGCTTGGTTCCTTCTGTTTTGACAAGAGCAGACAACTCGAAGGATTGGTTTTCCCGCAGGACAATGCTTCATTTTAGCAGTGCCTAAAACCCTCTTAGCTGTTCTAAATTCACAGTAAAACATGACTTCAAGGGGCTTATTGCTTTTATAAAAAATATTCATTTTAATATTTATTATATTCATAAAATAATGGTGGTGAGTAATGGGGTGGTGATGGTCATGCTGTCAGTGGATAAGACACATGCCTTTGGTGCGAGAGACTCAGGTTCGAATCCACTGTGAAACACCAATGTGTCCCTGAGCAAGACACTTAAACCGCTAGTTGATTCAGAGGTTATGACTGGTGCTGTTTATTGTAAGTGTTTGTTGCCTTTTTAGACTCCTTTATCTAATGGGCCTACCCTTTTCACCACTCTCTCTGGGCCAGCATCCTCTAACCTGGCCTTTTTCAGGGGGTTCTCCTCTCAGGGTGAATGAGAGGGTGCTCGATTGCTTTTTACCTGACATCTTTGAAAGACAGATGCAATAATTAATGCATCCATGCTAGGATATAATTATAAAATATGACATGATTTTAAGTCAACTATAACATCAACTAGGGTGATATCAGATAAATTGGGCCACTTTTTGGTAAATAGTTTGGGACAATAATACAATACCATATATGCCTTTTCCATGTGTTTCTATGATTAATCATGACTGTTTTTGATAAATTTGTGTTGAAATATGTAATAAAATAGGACTATTTTGGCCCTAAAAGGTCTTGAAACATCAGATGTGCCAAGTTTTTAAAAACAAAAATGTGTGTGAGTGACAAAGATGATGGCCCATTTTAGCTGAAACCATGTTACCCATTTTTACTTCAGTGGGTTAAGGTAAATTGGGCCACCAAGAAAAACATCACCTTTGCAAAAAATATGTTCATATACCAAACTAACAACATTATTTCTGATTAATGTCATCAGACAGATAGTATGCATAGTTTTTTTTTTATGTGCAGGTTTGTTTTTTTACTTGTCAAGCACAGCTATGACAAAAGTTTGAAATCCTTTGCTGTCATTGACACTAAATTCCACAGGAGCTGGGACACCCAAACATTAAATGGCCCATTTTACCTGATATCACCCTATGCAATACTCTTTTATTTATTTAATGCTAATAATAAAAGCCTATTTGGAGAGAGAGAGAGATGTTTATAATAATGCGATAATAAGTCACTCATTGTGTGATAAGGAAAATATGACTAGGCCTAAACTACTTGTTCTGAGCAGGTGTTGCCAGTGAACAGGCTGTAAAACGGCTGGCTAAATCACGCTCATGAAAAACTGATGCTAAGTATCTGAGAATCATTCTCGAACAGCAGTCAAGTTTTCATTGTTTGTGTCAAACAAGTTGTGAATTTGTTGTAACATTATAGGTAATCATGACTTACTCTGTGCTCAAAGTGATGCTCGGAGTGTGCTTTCCTCTGTGGGTGAACAAAACTTTCGCAAGATGTTGAAGCAGAATCACGTGAGCAATTTCAGAATATGCTTTTTTTTCATTGGTTGTTGCGTTAAATCTTACCCAGACTTTTTTCTGGCGGGTTATTGTGAAGCCCCTTTCTTTTTTTTTTGATTGGGCAGGCTCGACTTAGAACTCCAGGGGAGACGTGTTTGATTCCTGCAGGTTTTCTGCATAGACAGTAAAAGAAAGGTTTTCTGACGATTCATGCTACCTATCGAGATTTGCTACTTACCGGGGCGGTTAATATGCGCATGTGCAGACTCACATTTTTTTCTTCTTTTTTTTCTGTTCAAAAGGTAAGTAGGCCTACACCTGTTCCATAGTGAGAGCAAATAGGCGCGGCCAGATTCAGTTTGGGCGCTGCGCATAGACTGTAAAAAGGGCGCTGCGGCATATCACCGTACATATTATAAATATATTATAAATATTTTTTTTTTCAGCGTGAGAAATACAATGTGTGGTGGAACTGCGTGACAAATGACCGAAATGAGTGACTGTCACTATCAATGCGTGACACTTGAGAGCATTCCGTGACATTAGCCTGCACCATCTAGAGTTTCATGCCAGAACTTTGTATTTTTTAAATATTAAAAATACATCTATTTTTAACTGATTAATTAAATTCATTATTTACAGTTTTAAAAGTATATGTTTGGATGAGAGGAAGTGAACCTCTCAATACATCTGTCTTACTCACATCCCCATTGTTTTATATTAAAGCCTTTTCATACAAGGACTTCTGTGTTTAAAAACTCATAAAGCATTATCTACTGTAGTGTACACTTCATGGTTACATTTTTACTGAACAAGTTTCCTGTTTTTACAGTGGTAGGAGGGGCTATGTGTATATAAATAAGAGACAGTCAGAACATTACAGGACAGCACAGACAGCAGCAAGGCACAGTCCACAAAGAAGAGACCCAGCAAGGTAAATGTTCTTATTCTCACTATCAATCAATCTATTATTGACTTTAGACCTTGTCACATGATCAGTAATATCACATGTTAGAGCAGATGGATAAAGTTCCAAAACAGTTACACAATTTCTAGAAAAGCAGAAACATACAAAATAATTTCAGATAATATTTTTTTCTGTGGTATTTTCAGATGTTTCCAGTGTTGATGTTCCTCATGGCAGCTCTTGTCGCTGCAGAACCACTGACGGATCTCTCAGGCCCAGTAGAGTCTGATAGTGAGTCTGTGGTGCACTGTGATGCTCATACTGCGTGTCCTGATGGAACAACGTGCTGTCTGAGTCCTTATGGTGTGTGGTTCTGCTGTCCGTTCCAAATGGTAAATCTCAGTAAACAGTAACTTTCTATAGTCTATTAAATTTAAGGTTTAACCATTGTTTGTTCTACCCACTCCTTCAGGGTCAGTGCTGTAGAGATGGAGTTCATTGCTGCCGTCACGGTTATCACTGCGATTCGACATCGACTCAGTGTTTGAGGGGGTGGATGAGACTGTCGTCTTCTCCTCAGCCGGCCTCCAAAGCTATCCAGAAAACTCAGGTATGTCAGTACTCTGCATATATGACTCCAAAGTAAATCAATCTGCAACCAGTAAAGCAACCTGTCATGTTACAATGACCTACATACTTGACAATCTTTACAAACCATGTCATATGACTTCCAATCACGATTTCCGGCAGTTATAAAACATGGTTGAACATTTTCAAGCTGCAAACAATAATCTTTGGAAGAAAAAAAAATGAGGGTCCAAATACAGGTAGCATTTTCTATGAAGCCTGTTTTTATAATGTATTATAAGGATATTCTTAATGCATTCAAAATGCCTTATAAACAACATTATAATATGTTGTATCATTATATAATCATAACAAGAGAAATAATACTTACCTACTTATTAGATTTGGTAAAACCTTGTCATTTTAGTTATGATGAATAAAATATGATTTTCATTGTGAATGTATTGTTCCTTTGTACTTTGAAACTAATAAGTAGGAAAGTATTATGCAAAGTCATTCTGGTGTTATGAGGATGAGTGTCATACATAGGGGTTGCAACATACATTGATAGGACCACGTAATTGATCGCGGCAGAACTTAAAGTAAGAGGTGGCTCTAGAATTTTCCTCTTGAGAGCAGACTCAGGAACTTCACTCTCAGGAACAGACTCGGGAATTTCTCTCTCACTGGAATGGACTTGAGAATTTCTCTCTAACAAAAGAACTAGAAACAAAAATCTCTTGACTATGAAACTGAAAAAAATGACTAACAGAACAAAATACAGAGCGTAAATACACAGGGCAAACAAAGGAACTAATGAGAATTAACTACATGAACTGAAACTCAAATCAATCTGTAACTATGGAGACAAACAAGCAGGGAAACTGAGAGAAGAGAAATAATTAACAGACTATAATCAAATGACAAACTGAAACAGTTGGAAATATAATTCAGATATACAAACATGAATGCAAACAAACTCAAAACGTGACAACATCTGTATAATGCATTATAAATACAGGCTTTATAGAAAGTTTTCAATGATTTCAAATTCAATCGTTTGTTAAAATAAACCATGTGGCAATTAATTATTTAAAAACAGAAATGTGCTTTAGTTCATTATATTGTTATATTATATTTATGTGAGCTGTAAATCTTGAAATGGTTCTTTCTAAGAAGGCGAGTTTCTGGTTGTGTGTTTACTAACATAATTCCTGTGAATGGAAATGACCAGGCTCTTGAAATGCAGACCCAGACTGAGACTGTTCATTGTGAAGGAAACGTCTACTGTCCAGCTGAGAAGTTCTGCTGCAAGACAGCATACGGCCAGTGGGGGTGCTGCAGCGGTAAAGCTAACTTCATCTTGCTGTATTATTAATAATCATCAAGCTTATTCTGTGGATGAATTATAGATTTATATAACCTAAAACTCAGTCATGCAATGCAAAGTTTTGTGTCTGCTCATAATAAAAGTTGCATTTCTTTCTTTTTAGGGATGGAGTTGTAAGTACAACCCCCCATCTCATCAAAGACTGAAGTGCAAGAGGCTTTCAAACTTCACTCTTGAGGGAATAGATTAATCCTACATCCAAGCTGAATTCATCTTTTTATTATTTCCCCCCAAAATTGATTGAATTGCAATAAAATTGCATTGGACTTTTAATAAAAGATTTTGCTTTTGAGAAAGTGTTTATTTTAATCATCCAATTCCTGGTATTTTTTGTCCATGGGTCAATAAGTTATGAATTCATCTTCATAAACTTCATTCCCCTTTTGGGGGGAGGGGGGTTACTGTTGTCTATATTTTTAAGTGATGTTTTTAATATGCTTTAAGACAAACCTGTAAATTATTCCAGAAGTAAATTTTTCATTTTTGGGTGAACTATTCCTTTAAGAATAGCCTATTTCTACATACAACACCTTTGACACGACTTCATTATAAGAGCAAGTTCGTTACAAAAAAAAAATGATTCAGCCAAACGACATTTATGAATAAATAATTAACCGTTCAGGATAATGAAGTTAACAAAATTGTCTCTGATGCTGATAATGAGTGATCCTCACGTGTCACACGCTGGTCACACGTCGTCATTGCTCCCCCCGTGTTTCTATAGCAACATCTAACGAAAGACTTGTAAGGTTAGAGCCTAGAACTAGCAGAAAATGTCGGCAATGAACAGAAAGTTAATTCAAAACCTCGCCGAAACTTTATGCAAGCAAGTCAAACATTGTAGGTATCTATTAACTAATGTTTTCGTATGGCAGTTAATGTTATTCTTTACGATATAATTCTAAAAAAAAAAAAAAGAAAAAAAAAAAGTTTGCTAGCAGCTGCTAGTTCATCACCTGGAAATGTCCGGCTAGCTACTTTTACAAATAAATAGCTACCGTGTCTAGTGACCTGACAGTATTGTGTCTGTGCTGTAGTTAGTAAAGCAGAGACGGGGTGTCTGATAAGGCTGTTCAACGGTCTGGTGGGAGAGCAGGCGGAGAAAAGAGCGGCTCACGGACTCGACCGGGTCCGGTTCAGAAATATCCTCCACAACACATTCGGGATGACCGAAGATGTGATGATGGATAGAGGTACGATTTAATTTGGACCAGGACGATTATAGACCGTAGTTTGGTTTGCTGCATACTGTATATTATATTATATAGTGGTGTGTGAGAGTATAGATAAATACAATATAAAAAGTAACGTTACCGGTCAAAAGTTAGGAAACATTCTTATTTTTGCTGTATTTGAAAGAAGTATCGTATTTTCATCAAGCCTGCATTTATTTGATGGAAAAAAAGTAATATTGTGAAATAATATTACAATTTAAAACAATGGTTTTCTATTTTAATACACTTTAAATAAGCCATTATTGCAGTTTTCAGTGTCACGTGATCCTTCAGAAATCATATGCCGATTTATTATCATGTTTATTATGCTGAAAACAGCTGTGCGGCTTGATTTCTTTTTTTAATATTACCTATATTTTGTCAGGATTCTTTTATCAATAAGAAGAAGGGGGAAAAAAGAACAGCATTTATTTAAAATAGAAATCTTTTGTAAACAATATAACCTTACTCTACACTACCGTTCAAAAGTTTGGGTCAGTAACGTTCATATTTTTTTCGTTCTTTTTTGATTACTTAATACTTTTATTCAGCAAGGATGTGTTAAATGACAGCAGTGATCGTAAAGATTTATAGAAGAATTTGTATTCATCAATAAATCCCGAAAAACTGTTTCCAACATTGATATCAAATATAAGAGGTAGTATCAAATCATCATATTAGAATGATTTCTGAATGATCACGTGACACTGAAGACTGGAGTAATGATGCTGAATATTGAGCTTTGCATCACATAAATTAAAAATATTTTTCAATATTACTGTTTTTTCCCCCAGTATTTTTTATCAAATAAATGATGAGCATAAGGAGAAACATAGTAGTTTCCAAATTTTTGAGTTAGCAGTTTAACAGATAAGGATATTAATACCCGTCAATAATAATAAACCTGATATATTTTATAATTCGTGTACTACTAATATTAAAAAAAGATTCTCTTATGTCTGAGCCTCAAGGAGGATATTTATAATTTTTGCAAATTTTTGCATTAACCCCTTGTATATTCAGTTTTTCGTGTCTTTGACAAGGACAATGACACCTACGTAAGCGTCAAAGAGTGGGTGGAAGGTCTGTCTGTCTTTTTAAGAGGCACGCTGGATGAAAAAATCAAATGTGAGTACTTGTATGGCTATGTACATAATGTTCATGTTATAAAATATATACATACTGCATATAAAACATTCCATGTATAATGCCTAGTCTGCTTTGACGTATACGACCTGAATGGGGACGGATACATCTCACGGGAGGAGATGTTTCAAATGCTGAAAGACAGCCTCATCAGGCAACCCACCGAAGAGGACCCCGATGAGGGGATTAAGGATGTTGTGGAAATTGCCTTGAAAAAAATGGTACAACTGTGTGTCAGATTAAGAACATGTACATGGAATAATTCACCATTAAGTATAAAATATATGCATCTTTATTTTTTTAGGATCACGACCACGATGGAAGAGTTTCTTATTCCGATTTTGAGAAGACAGTCGTAGATGAAAACCTTTTACTAGAAGCTTTTGGCAACTGCCTCCCAGATACGAAGGTAGAAATCACAAGCAACTATTTGGGCATATCAAATGTTCAGTAATTTTTTAATTTTAGTATTTTTTTATTTTATTTGTTTGGCAGAGAATCCTGTTATTTGAGCAACATGCATTCCAGGAACCACATGAACAGTGACATAACCACTGAATTTTGTATATGAAAAAAAGGTTTGTCAAAAAATTGTGCGTGTCTGTAAAATATTGTTCAATGTAAGACCACAGCGGTCTTATTAAATTCTCCTGCGTGGCTTTGCAGTAGTGGTCTTTACTTGTACAGGTTTGACCTCTGGAACAGATGTGACCTAAAAAAAAAAAAAAAAGAATATTTATCAGCCATATACCATCATGAAAAATTGCACACAAACAATGTACCGGTACTTAAATGGGTCCTATTATGCCTTTTTACATTTACTACTTTTTTAGTGTAATGGTGCTGAGCATGAAAAACGTAACGAAAGTTACAAAGCAAGCAAAGTCACTCTAAAGCAGTGGTTCTCAACTCCAGTGCTCTGCACAGTTTGTATGTCTCTCTTATCTGACACATTCAGTTCAGTTCAGTTCATAGAGTCTATCCTAACAAGCTGAGGATCTGAATCAGGTGTGTTAAATAAGGGAGGCATACACAATATGCAGAGCAGTGGGTCCCGAGAACTGGAGTTGAGAACCACTGCTCTAAAGTGAGTTATTCTCTATATCAGTGTCATTGTTTGTGAACTCCCTGAAACGTCTCCACTGTAGTCTTGAGTTTTCTTCTGAGAACCATCAAATCACAATATTCCTCATTTAAATAATTCCCGCCAATGGCATATGCAAAAAAAACAAAAAACAAAAACGTAGCACAGCCTGGTTGAGTCAGTTAGTAGCTGTGGGTGTGACATTTCGAAAACACGATCAAAGCAGTTGACCAATCACAACACACTGATCTAGCTGACCAGTCAGAGCACATTGTGCTTTTCAGAAGGAGAGGCTTTATAGAGACAGGAACTAAACAGGGGTGTGTTTCCCGAAAGCATCGTTAACCAACTACGGTCGTTATCAGCATAGTTCAACGAGTCCCGAAACACACTTTCCAACGAACATTTGCAAACAGCATCGCAAAATTGTGTGGTTTGAACAACACTTCTCAACCTGTGGTTAGAGGCATCGTTTCTATATTACATGACATTTGGACGTAATAAATCCTTATCTTGAGCAAAATAAGCAAACTGACATTCAGGACAACCGGTGCCTTTTATTTAGAATACATACAAATGGAATTTCCATCTTTTAGTTTGTCAGAAGATTTGAAGTAACTTGTTTGAAGAGTGTGCATGTGCGAACATGCTCTAATATGCAAGAACGAGCCAAATATTGAGTCTGGTAATGAAGCAAAATAACTAAAAACAATTAAAAATAGTCCTCAGATGACATGTCTGTAATTTATATAAAAAAATCTAGCGTTAATTGGATCTCAAACAGTTTCATTAAAAGTAGTTTTACTCCACCACGTGCGATACTTTGCGACAGTGGGTTTCGGGAAACAGTCGTGACTAGCTAGTTGATTTCTCCAACGATGCATCGTACTATGGTCCTGAAGCAGCAAACTACATCGTTGTACGGGAAACGCACCCCTGTGAGTCACTGACAGAATTGGAAGAGAGGAGCTGCAACAATCTAAACATTTTTTTTGAACATTAAAGCCTGAAAACCTATTCTAGTAGACCACAAAAACTAAATCAAGACTAGGTCCTATTTAATAATATTTACAGCAAGAATAAAACAGACTAACTAACCTTAGTCATAGTTTGACGGATCAAATTGGCGGTGACATTTAATGAATGATCCTCCATGTCCACCTTGGGCAGCTCTGGTAATTTTGGGCCAATTAGAGTCTCAGTTTCATTCAAAAAGAACACGGTTTCCTCCAATTTTCTTTTTCTACTTTCTAAATGTGTAATCCTTGGCATAAATCTAACAGGTTGTGACCGGTTCTCCTGCCTTTTACTCAAATCTCCCTCTTTAACAATTGAAGACGAGGATGACGCACTCTGCTTTGACGTTTCTGCGACAGGAGGGATGGAATTATGTAGAGAGCCCATCTTATCCTCTGTAGGTAATGTTGTTTTAGTGGTCCACTGCAATTGAAATGGCTGTGTAAAATTGGGAAGTCTATAAGAAACATCCTCTGTTGGGGGCAAAGGCTGCTCGGGAAAGCCCAAGTAGTCAGACTTTACATTCTCACTTCTGGCGCTTGCAAAGTCTTTCTGGATCTCAGGAGCTGCAGATGCTCGTGTGTCCGTGCTCGATAACTCTGTGCTTACTTCCAATGGCTGATCGTATTGTTTTCCTGAAAAAAACAAACAAAAAAAAAACACATAAGTTAGATAGATGTTCTACAGATGTAACCTATTAAGGGACACGATTAAAAGTACCTGTGTTTTGGCTTGCTCTGTTAACATATCTCCTCCTGTCCTGTAACTTCTGCCTCGTCTCTTCCACAGTTTCGTACTCGGGGGCATAACAGACATGCAGCTGACCCCCGAAGAAGCTCTTTTCATCAATACGCCGTTTAGCTATCCTGCAAATTTACACATTGTTACACATGCACGTCGTTCAGTGATGTGTGCTTTTTGAGTTATGCATGTAAAAAAGTACTGAATGAAAAGCCTGCACCAACTTTGATTGTGTTATTCTTGACATTACATAAAAACATATTCATATTTTATGAATATTTACACAGAAAATATTCATAAAAGAAACAACTGATTATTTAAATCTGCACATTAGTAAAAATGTGTTAAAATCTCTTTATACTAATCAGCTTAAAGTATCATGACCTTGAGTAAAAAAAGTAAAGCGTAAATGAATTGTTAACTATGGAAGAGTCGTTCCTGCCACAGAACAATACAAAAAAGGTATTTGTGACTTTTTTCCTTGCAACTGCAAGATTACATCCAAAAAAAAAAACTTTTTTCCTCAGAATTATATTATAAACTCACAATGCTGAGGAAAAAAAGGTAATCTTTTTTTTTTTTTACCTCAGAATTAGACTTTATAACTCACAATTGCAAGTTGATATATCACAAGTCTGAAAAAAGTAGTAAGAGTTGTGAGATAGGAGCACAGTTGCGAAAATTTATAAACATGCAATTTCAGTTCTCTCATAATTCTGAGAGGTGGAAACAAGCATAGTTCCAAAGTTAACCCTGTTAATTTTGTTGTTTTCACTAAAATATAAGAATATATATAAAATAAGAATGTTTCTAGAGCAGCAAATCATCATATTAGAATGATTTCTAAACGATCATGTGACACTGAAAACTGGAGTAATGAAGATATTAAAAAATTATCAGTTGTGCACCACATATATATTCCACCACAAGGAATATATGAAATTTTAAAATATAATATAACACAATTTTAAATTGTATGACTATTTCACAATATTATTGTTTTTACTGTATTCTTGGTCAAATAAATGCAACCTTGCCTTGGTAAGCATGGGTATGACAACAATTTTATTTTGTGAAATGAACCAGGTGGACTAAAAGTGAAGTTCCTCTGTATCACTCTAACACAAGCTGACTTTGAACATGTTTTAGTCTGTCCTTACCTTGCACTTGTCAGCTTCTGGAATTGAAATAAGTAGACTTCAGTGAACTGCTCTGCTGGGTATTCATCAAGTGCTCTGTACTCCTCGACCACTCCGTAGAGAGCAAAGAGCTGCACCAGCTCTGCCATCACTCCAATAGCGGGAACTCCTTGAACTAGCAGGAACCGAGACTCCAAGTTGATGGTGTATACCTGGAACCAACGATTATTATTATTTTCACTCTGGTGGGTGTCACTCTGATTGCTGCATGGTACGATAAGCCAAAAATACAGTGCTAATTAAAACAATTTAAAAAATAAACCGACCTTAACCGCTCTTTGGCGTCTTCCCTCTCTGTATTTTGCGCGTGTTTGGGCAACATTTTGTTGCTCGTGGTGTTTATACACCTTTTGTGTGTCCCACACAGAAGGATTAGCGACTGAACGATCCATTTGTGTGGTGAAGTCAGCGCCCGAAGAAAACAAGCCACGGGGTTTCAAAATAAAAGTCTCATTTTCAATCCTTTTAATTTGTTATTTGTGATCATTTGCAGTTGCGTTAATTCATCATTATATTTATAATGATTCAATTAATCAATGTAATGTATTAAAAACAATTTAATCAATATAATCGAAATGTAGATTTAAATTTACGTAATTAAAAATGTATTCAATACAATTTTTTCTTATTGATTTTTTGTTTATTCAGTACAATAAAAATATAGTTGACTATTGAGCCACGTTCTGCATTATTTTACATATAGTCTACTGTTAAAAATGAATTTTTCAAAGACCACAGGACCATTTAAGAGAACTGTAAAAAAATCTACTTAATTTCTTATTTTATTTCATTTAAAGTATAAGCTTTAATTGTACATTTATATAAAATGAATAAATAATATCCAACTTTCTACACTAATAAACGATTAGACAAAATAATTCACAGTCCTTTCGTGCATTTGTATAAATAGGCCTAAGTTACAGTACAATATTTCACAAGATAATGAATAATATCCAACTTGAGTTATACTTAAACGATTAAACCTAAAACAATTCACAGGGGTACTTTCGTGCATTTGTAAAGGCAGTTTAATATGTCATAAGATAGGTCATCAGATTCTTGACAAGACAGAAACATTAAGTTGACAGAAACATTAAGTTCCTCTTTTTGTTATCTCCTCATAATGCATCATAATGCATTCATCACATTTACATTAGCATCCTTCCTGGATCAAAAGCTGAGTAAAATGTCTGTGGCTGTTGTCTACTCGGATGTCATATTTGTGAAAATAAACGAGGTTGGCAGCAGTAACGATCCAGATAAGAGTCCAGGCAAACATAATGGCCATGGAAAGCAATGTATGGTATTGGATTATTTGGACAAAGTGTATATCTTTCTAATTACAGGCCCATAAGCCTGTGTAAGTCTGTGGCACCCCACATTTGAACTGGGCAGGAATGGGTCCAAAACCACTTCTGCTTGCAAGTTTTGAGGCCTTGAGAGCTTCTTGCCTCATGCAAAGTTCAGTGAAGTCACTGATTTTGAATCTCAGCTCTCTAAATTAGCCATATTGGATTTTGAAAATAGTTCACTGCTCGTATTACTAATTTTGTCCAGTCTTCACTAAAGTTGGCTCAAATGAAAAGTATTAGGAACTTACCATTGTAGGAAAGGTCCTTAATATTAATTTAAGACCTTATTAATTTTTTTTTACCTGGATGTATTTGCTTGTGCAAAAAATGTCCTACCATGTATAAAATTGCAAGAAATATTACATACACAACAAAATATATGGTCATTCTTCTCAAGGTCATTAGCCGCGTTTCCACTGCCGGGCCAGGGCCGGGCCGTGCTAGTGCGTGCCAGGGCCAGTCGCGTTTCCACTGTCACTTCCGGGGCTTGATCGGGGCTTCCTCAGGGCCAACGGCCAGGATTTCTGGCCCGTCGAATACCTTGGGCCAGAGGGGGCCAGCTCGGGCTAGAGGCGTGCTCAAGGTAAAAGGCGGAGTTTATCGGTGTTATGGAACGTTATGATCTGAAGCAAGATGCACATAGGGGTGTCCATGTTTAACCGATTAACCGTTTAAAATTGCATAACATTTTAATTTGAACTGTAGGCCTATGCCAAATGCTGCGCAACAATATATAGGCTATATATAGCTACATATCGACGAATTTTCAGACATTTGTTTGATTTTTTTGCCCCTTAAACATTTTAAATATTTGACAAATTAATATGAAAAATATATATATTTTACTGGTTTTCTGAGGCCAAATTAGAACCTGGAAATGATATTTTCCCCGCAGTGCTGAATGAGAAGAGCCGTAACCACAGCCTACAGAAAGGGGATTTATGGGTGATTTATAGGCTATAATAAATGTGTCTGATAATAAAATAATATAAAATAACGAGGCATTAATTGTTTATTAATAAACTATTGTTTTCTAAATGATTTTCGGCTAAAAACATATCTCCATCTCCGGATGCACATTTAGAGAGAAATTAAGCTACATAGAAGATATTGGCTTTCGATTCGAATTTGTTCGTTTTAAATTGGACATTTAAAGCTTTAATCTACAAAGGATATAACCCCTGTAGACTAAAGCTTTAAATGTCCAATTTAAAACGAACAAATTCGAATGCGGTGGCTGTTTCAGGTCTCGCGCTTCAGTTCACGGAGATCATGAAGCGCGCCTTGATTAATTGTTAAAGCACAACGTTTTCTTGTTATAAATAAATTTATTTGCGAATAATGTATTATTATTTTCTGTATGACCAGAAATTAAAGAGTATTTTAAGTTGTTTCCACTGAAAGAAATGCAATGAAACTGTTCACATGGGCGTCTCGCAGCCATCAGTGCATGCTCCACACACACTGGATAGCCTATGCGCTGATATTTGTCAAAAATATTGTGTTTATTTGTGCTCTGTTCCTTTTTTGGATAAAGGCGTCTTCTACATATGCAGCCTAATAAAATGTTACAATAATAATGATGATGGTTATTATTATTATTATTATTTGCAGACACGGAGTTTTTGTGAAATGGACGTTTTGCTTATTTTCAATTGGCAATTTCAGTTTGAAGGGTGATGGAAATGGGGCTTTAACTGCTCCGTACTTGCTGCGTTTTATTTCTATAAATTAATTTCGTTTCAAATGGGGTCCAATCAGTTATTAAATGTGTTAAAAAATCTGTATGGTTGCGGCGCGCACACTATGCACCGAGTATTAACCGATGGGCCTCGGTTAACGATTAATGAATAACTTGAAAACGTGCCCGCAGCCCTACTTGTTATATCGCGCAAAAAATCGCTGCTTGAAATGGAGAATCGACTGTACTGGTCTCGGGACACTATTGCAGCCACAACGGCAGTTGAGTTAATATACATGCTATCTTCCTAATTTAAAAAATAAATTAATTCATAATACCCGCTGAAATGGGTTGGGTTTTATGACGTTTGATCCTGAAAGGCGTGTTAGGGGTGGGGTCTGGGGCAGCGCTGTGGGGCTACTGGCCCGGCAGTGGAAACGCAAGCTCGGTGCTTGAGGCCCGAGGCCACTAGCTCGGCCCGGCTCGCTGTTAGCTCTGGCCCAGCCCTAGCCCGGCAGTGGAAACGCGGCTATTGCTTTTGCTCAATCACTGGCAGCTATATCTTCATTTTTTTCTAAATATGGTCATCACATGAGAAATTGTGCAGTTATAAATAAATAAATTATTTCTATAATCACTAGCAGGGGTGCTGTGACAAACAAAACTTATTTTACAACATTTATAAACCAGTTAGTTCCAATCCTTGATTCTGATTGGTCAATAGATGTGCTTTATTCATGATTAAACAAACAGAACCGTTGTAAAGCGGTCATAGCCGTATTACTGCGCAACACTGCGGTTTCTGTGATGTTTTTAAGCTTTCATGCATATTACACATTGGAGCGTTGTTGCTGTTCAGTCAGGGACTATTTTTTTCTAGCCGAAGGAAGGCTTTTACTGATTGTTCTTCATGAAAGTTGCATTAATACATATTTTTTTACTTTAATATTTTAATTGTGTGGTCACCGTTTTTTAAAAGCAATAAGGTACTCGAGGCACGTGCTGTATCGTGAATAAGTAACGGCTGAAGGGGTTACTCCGCTTCGTGTCGAGCCTAACAACGCCCTCAGCCGTTACATATTCACGATACAGCACAGCCTCTCGTACCTTAGTGCTTATGTCATTGATGTGCTTGACTGCGCAATCTGAGGCTGGGAAAAATTCAGTGACTACTTCACACAGAGAACCTGTCAATCACAGCTGTCAATCATGATGCCAGAGCACCGTTTTTATCATCACATAACTAACTAAAAACAAACTTATTTTAAAAACGAACACTTGAAATTACATCAACGTGATATAAACTACAGTAAATGACAGAAACGGTCTTTGGAAAAAGGATATGTGAAGTGTAATTTACTTGTTTAGTTGGGCTCATGTTGAATAACATGGGGAGGCGGGATTTATGACCTGTACTAGGACCGGCCACCAGGGGCGATCGAGACGTTTTTCCTTCACTTTTGAGAGCTTGTGCGGCACGCTTGGACCATGTGTTAATGTGCAAAATGCACATTATTGAAAAGAGTGAAAAGAGCTGGTTTCTGTATCTCTCAAGAAAATAAAGATGAAATGCTTGCAGAATCAGTTTAATTTTGTAATAAAAACAAACAAAAACAAGAGTTATCTACAATAAATTGCAGGAACATTTCAATCTATATGGACCAACGTGGTTTGCAATGAAGAACAACAACTTCTGTTTTTGGAACGATGCTGTCAATGTCTTTAGTGTTTAAATATAGTACAAAAGGCGGCAACTCGCAGCAACTGTGTGATTTCCATTTTCAATCTTCTTGTAGTTACAAGGATGCACAAAGACAAACCACTTGCTTTCCAGCATTCAGAACTACAGTCAGTCATGTGTTCAGGTTTTCTCAGTTTTCCATATTAAAATGTTCAGAAGTCCGAGTCAGAGTCTGAATCGGTCTCAGTGGGTGTTTTGTCCGTCTCCATGTACAGTTCTCTGACAGTAAGGATACGTGTGAGCATGCTGTCCAGATCCTCATCACTCAGCACGGTGGCTGTAAACCATGTAGGACTGCTGGGTACACAGGAGCGCTCAGGGCTCAGGTAGAATTTAGTCGAATGATGTCTTATGCCTGGTGAACTGGAAGAAACAACAGAAAGTATGACAACCAAATACACCATGACTCATTTGATTAAAGTGCCCCAATTATGCTTTTTCAGAAACTACCTTTAATGTAGAGTATTATAGCGGTTTGTGAATGTTAACGCTCTGTAACGTTTCAAAGATCAATAACAGGGATGCAAACACACGTATGGTCAAAAAAGAGAGGTAATCGAAGGCCTCGCCCCACAGAATATATCCAGATACTTACATTTCCACCAACCCCTGTCATTTCAGGCCCACCCCTAGGCACATATAGTGAATATGTTTCAGCATTTAAATCATTTTTTACAAAACCTCCCATAAACCTCCCATAGTTCAGCCTTTATATCATTTTTATAAAAAGAATGAGTCAATAAAATAAAATAATTACTTGACACTTCCTGTGGTGTCTGTTGTTGCTAAGCATCCATGCACTGTGCTCTCCACAACGAAAAAAAATAAGTTTTAGTAGCTAACAGATTTTCACTACCGAAAAACGCCTTTTGTAGCTCTGCTACAAGATTTATCTACGGAGAAGAGAAAAACACTGGTAGTGTTTGGGCGCACCCCCATCCTTCATGTTTACTGAGCTTTCAATGGTGGTTGGTTCTCGTCACATGAAATGCGGTGCGCTTGCGCCATTCTGAAAAATGTTTTCATCTAAGCCTGGAAAAAATAGCTTCAATTATTAGCGCGCTTGCCGCACACCTACATTTGAAATAGCGAACTTGAGAGCGCAAAAGACTATGTGAACAGCCCTATGTCATCTATTTAGTCTCAAACTTGCACACAGGATACGAGGGCAAAAAAAACAGTATACATGCACAGAATGCCATCCACGAGCAGGGGGCATATGCATCCCTGCAATAAGCACGCTAAAAGGAGTTGATAAAAACCGACTGTAAATCTGTCTCCATTTAGTTAGCAAACCTCCAATGATTCAGTCAATTCCCAAAGGACAAAAATTCCCACCCAACGTTTTATTTCTCATTCGAGAAGCCGTTTCACTCATATAAACGTCACAATAGGGAAGAAAAGACTATTGCAACTTCATGCTGACTTTAAACAAACAGCTGACATACCATTTTGAGAGATAGAACTCGTATAGCTTGACAGGACAGCGGAGAGGATTGTCTGTATTCTGCCGTATCTTTAGCACTCTTTGCCGTTCATCTTCCTTTTTCCTTTTCTTTACAGGGACACCATCTAAAATGGACAAAATGTATAAGTAGTAACAATTAACAACAACAACAAATAAACACAATAAAACATATGACAGACCACTGACCGTCCTCTTTCGGGGGGTAGAAACGCAGGTAGGATACTTTGCTGTTGGCTGGACCCCGAGAGTAGCGTTTGACATAGGCGAAAGAGAGGCTGCGATGTTGCTCCACTGTCTTGAAGTTGAAGAACTTGGTGAAGAAATAGAGCAACGTGTTGAGCAGCACGCCGGGTGAAAACGCTCCCAGCTGCTTACAGTCCCACAGATACTCCTCCTCCACACGAGAATGAACGTAACCTGCACAAACACACACACACAGGCATTAGTAGCACAACAGAGAAACAATCCAGTATCGTGTCAGTTTCTTAAAATACTCACCAGTGGGTAATATAGTTGGTTTCCATCCTTTAAGAATGTTGGACATTTCATGGCAGAATTTGGTGTAGAAGAGATCCGAGAAGATGTTCTCCATCCGATTGTTCTCAAACAGGAACTGTAAACATAATCGACGAGAGCCAATTAAACTAAATACAACATGACTGAATGCGTTGAGCGTGTGTGATTTCTTCTCGTCTCACCTGCTGGATGCCCAGGCAGAGGTAATAGACGCTGTCAGGGCTGTACTTCTCTCCGTTGGGTCGACGAACTTCAGAGATGAACTTGCAGAGGCCGTAGCTCAGTTCGGCCGTGCAACACTTCAACAGGTCCTCCTTTATTGTCATAGAATGTGCTATGGATGATGAAGGGGACATGTTTAATGCGTAAATGGCAAAAAGTCTCTCCCCCAAGTAAATTTATTTAATAATTAATTTCAGTCAATGTGATGTGGTCCAGTATTGCTTCTGAATTGTAGAAATTAGTTTGCTTTATACCCAACATTTGATCCCCAAACTGAGACCTACAGGCATATTTGGGAGTCTCCACGTTGGGTTGGGCGTTCCTCCAGCGCACCCAGTCCTTCCAGGCATTGACGCCATACTCTTGGTGCAGTTTGGAGAGGTTTTTTGGAAGCGCTGATGCACATTTACGACCCTACATGCCAACAAAACACACAATCAGAGTTTCAGCTTTCCATAATGTAAATGGTAAGGGGCTGCACGTTAATGGTTAAATTGATAATTGTGATTTATTATAAATTATGAATTATTCCGCACAACAGTGAATAAAATACTTTTTTATTGAATTACTGCACTTTCGCTTAAGCACAAATCATCTCATTCGCAGGGTTTATTTTCCTAATATCAATTCCAATAATTGCAAATAATGTTAACAGTTTTCTATTTAAAAAAAAAAACCTTTGTATTATAGCACAGAGTTTGCTTAAGTGCATTTATTATTTTGTCATTGAGAAGGTTATGAGGGAACACAGAATGGCTGTCCATTTTTATTTCAAGCACTGTCAATGCCTCACACAGAGACACAGAAAATGCAGACTTCATATTTCAATAGCACTGTTTTTGCCATTTAATATTCAGACAGTAGCTCATATTGTGGTTTGATTAATTGTACAGCCCTACTTTTGATTTTTTCACCCAACATTCTGTATTATACAGAAAATTCCACTATTCCATTTGCATTTTCCACATAGCGAAAATCATTGATGGAGGTGAAGAATAATGCTGCTTTATCTGTTCTTACCCTTTTCTTCTGAGGGAAGCCGTCGTTTCCTCTCTTGCGAGATCTTCGTTTGCCAGTATCAGTGTCTTTTTGCGTTTGCTCTCTGAGAAGTTCAATGCTTTCTGAAATGTGAAAGGATAAAATATGGATGGAAGAAAATAAATAACTTGGATTGTGTTTGGACCTTTGAACTCTCTCAGCAATTGACGAGATTGTCCATAATTTATGCCAAACGCTTCCCCACCATGGACCCTTTCACAGACTGTGATGACACATTTCCACAACAACGTGCTCAACATATGTAACATTTGTATATACATTTGTAACTATTGCGTTACATTACCATGTACACAAGTTTACTATGGTGATTTCCACTTCTGAGAACCCCGGAAATTTGAAACGGGTCCACTGACAATTTTTTCAGCAATATGCATTTTCACTGTTTCACTGGCTGGCAACTTTAAAATAAATAGGGGTGGTGATGGCGCAGTGGAAAAGACACATGCCTTTGGTGTGAGAGACCCAGGTTCGAATCCACTGTGAGACACCAGTGTGTCCCTGAGCAAGACACTTAACCGCTAGTTGCTCCAGAGGCGTGCCAGAATCCCAGAAGAAGCTCTTACCGACTGGGTAATCCGCCTCCAGGTCCATCTGTGGCTCTTCTGCTGAGGTAGAGACAGGGATCAGTGTGGCAGATCTGGATGGAGGAAGTCTTTCAGGCTCTGGGGGTTGTTCGGGGATCAGTGTGGCAGATCTGGATGGAGGAAGTCTTTCAGGCTCTGGGGGTTGATCGGGGATAAGTGTGGCAGATCTGGATGGAAGTTTTTCAGGTTCTGGGGGTTGATCCCATGTCTGAGCTGAAGACACCGAGTCCTCCTCCCAACTCAGATTGCTGGATAGGGCTTCAAAATCGAGGTCCTCCATTATGTTACCAGTCTGATCTGTGTAACAAAACGAGCAGCTTCAAAAGATAAATATGTGACCAAAACAAATGTACATTTGCAGATTTAATACAGCGCCTAAAAAAAACATAACCTTAATTTTCCATTACATACCACTAGATGTGATGCCTTTTTCAATCTCTGTATCCTCAGCCACCATCTCTGCCATCATGAGGAGTTCAGCCTCCAGAGGGTCATCTGGGATCTTCTCTTTGATTTCCTGAATGGTCTTCACAATGTGCTCAGCGTTGTCCAGAGTCGTGGGGAAGAATAAGGGCACTGGAATCTGCAAACAGAAATAGAGGCACATTTACATCATCAGACTACAAAGCTACTAGGGCTGTCCCTGAATAAAGTTTTTTTTTTAAAAGTTAAGTGAAGCCTCTAGCCCACTAACTACATAAATATAAACCAGGGGGGCTTTTTCTGAGAAGGAATATTATATGCAACATTGCCAACATTTTTCTACATTAAAGAAATACAAAACCATAATAATGAGCATAGACGTTGGAACAGGGTGGGCTTAATAATAAAACTTAAGTGGTCAGAATTACATCTAACCCATTCCAAATGTTTCCCGATATATGGGGACTCAACCACTGATAGACCGAAGACCGCGCATTTCGACATTTGCAGTAAAAACTTGAAATATAAACGCTCATAAAATATATTTATTACCAATATATTGAAACGTCTGTTTATATACTCCATTAATAAAGGTTAACTCCATTAATTCAGTCCACATGTGTTTTATATTTAATATGAGGGAAATAGACATGCATGCAGTACACAAAAAATCTTTAACTTTTAGGTAGCTAAATATTTTAGTAATTCTGTCAATTACACTAAGGTTAGATTTCATTGAAGGTAAACTGGAGCGGCCAACACTGAGCTCTGCGTAACACCCACAGACGTAAAGTGAACGAGATAGAGGCTACTGTCTGAAAAGTTGCTCTGTTGCGATGCAAGTGCAAAACAGATTTAACTAATCATAAAGTCAATCAGGATACACAACATCCTACACTAAAGAGCACCCCCCCACCCCCGATCCCACAACATAGTTCCCACTTCCCTGATAATGAGGCATTAAAATATAAATTAAGCACTTAAGTGCATGCATAAAGCTTGTCGCAGCGCATCTGAAAAATGATTATAAATGAGAAAAAAAAAACTGTCTGAACATTTTAATAGTTTACTAATAAACTAGAGTCAGTGATGCAGATTCATCATCTCCCCAGTATAGTGTATGCACATATACAGTAGAGAGAATTGAACATTAAGTTAAACGTTATGCAGTAAGTGCAGTACTACATTAGCTTCCTTACTCCACACAAAGACTTGTATATTTGCCCAAGTACAGTAATCTAGGTTAACATTAACGTTAGAGTGGCAGCCATGTAACGTTGCTAACATTAGGCTACTAATGTGTAAAATAAGCAACGTTTGAGGTCGTTGAATGTTAGACGAAATTTGAATTTCCCGCCCGCCATAATCCACTTTTTTTGGAAATGGGCTGATTTTACCACTCCCCCAGAGTTAAACAGTTGAGTTTTACCGTTTTCGAATCCATTCAGCTGATTTTCGGATATTTAGAAGAATATCAGTAACCAGACAGTTTCTGGTCTCATTGACTTCCATAGTAGGAAAAAATATACTATGGAAGTCAATGAGACCAGAAACTGTCTGTTTACAGATATTTTACTAAATATCCGAAAATCAGCTGAATGGATTCGAAAACGGTAAAACCCAACTGTTTAACTCTGGGGGAGTGGTAAAATCAGCCTATTTCCAAAAAAAGTGGAGTATCCCTTTAACAGTCTGTGCATTACGGACTGTGTGACTTTGACAATTCCTGTGGAGTTTATTTTTCTGCAACTAACTGCCTAAATACAATTTGGTTGATTAAGCCTCTTCTCGTTGACGAACGTTTAGTCGACTATTAGGGATCAGCCCTAAAAACGACATTGAGCCAGAGCGACAACTGTTTAGTGTTTACATATCTACTTTTAACATGCTAAAATGAATATTCCAGGCTTTGACATCTGTGACATGCTGTTCCTAAAGAAAATAATGTTGACTTGAAAAGTGAGGATGAGGAAGGGAAGAGAGTAGATGTACCGGAAGTGGAAGCCCTACAGACTGTGGAATGTATTGGGTGTAGAGATGCATGGGAACTGGCACAAAGACCGGCACCGGCACAGGCAGCACTATCACTTTAGGCTTTTCATCTGTAGGACAAAAGAGACGTCGACATATGCATCAGGCGTGGCAACATTTTTCTTTTGTTAAATAAAAAGAGAAAACAAATGTAGAAGATTTGTCCAGAATAAGGCTGCTAAAAAAAGAGAGTAGTCACTGTCCCACAGCTGGTTAATACCTATTTGTGTCTCAGCATCAGTCGTGTGGGGTTTACAGGATGTGGCTTTGTTTTTGCTTATGGATTTATATGGCAAGTCCTTGTTCTTCTGGATTTGGGATGATGAGACAGGAGCTTTCACAGCATGTTTCTGTAAGCAGAGCAAAGACCAAAAGATCTGTTCACAGCATATCAGCATTGAAAAAAAAAAAAATAGCATAACAATTGGAACAGTCTGAATTGAGTTTTAGAAAATCCCATGTTTAAGACTGGGTGTAAATACAGATTTTTCCAGACAAACTCACATGTTCTGTAACTTTCACAGTAACGGCAGCTGGAACAGAGCCTGAGGACGCAACGGGTTAAATGTGAGTGATTTGAGCAATGAACAATTCACCTCAGTCTTTACCATATGCATTATGTATAAGTGTTCAGTTCAGTTTAAATGGTTAATGCTTCTGTAGTTCAATCACCTTTCGGATCTGTGTTCCTGTGAACACCTGGCTGTTTGTTAGACGCATTTGAAAGTGAAACAACACTGGCAATGACCGGTGTACCCGCTTTAGTACTTTGAGGGACTGCAGAGGTTACTGGAGTCGCACCTGTGGAGAGAGTGACATCACAGGACTCCAGGCTAAAGAAAGTGAAACATTTATGATTTAACACACCCAGCCAATGACAGAATCTACAGAGTGAACCAAAAATGGAAAAAATAAAGGCAGTGTGAGAAAAGCAGACCGACCCAAATATCCAAGTAAATATAAAAGAGAACATACTCTGTGTGGCTTGAGATTGGCTTGTAGCTTTGACGACGGCTCCAGTGACGCCCTGCAGACTGCAAAAGAACATCAGGCACCGCAGGCTGCAGAAATGCTTGATCTCACCCAGCCATTTCTCGGTCTCGGTCGTTTTCTTGGCCTGCCTGCACATGGAGCACTTTATTTCCTGTCAAAATTGTGAAACAGGAACACTTAATGTTACTTTTTTTAGAAGCCACATTGTTTGCATAATGACAAAGTCAAATGTTGCAGAAAAATGTAACTTAGTATGCGTCATAACAGTGTGTCTTCACCACACTGGCGCGGTCGCTTACATGTTTCGCGGTTGAGCAGCATGCACGCGCATGATCCTGCACTAATAGGTTTTATCAGTTAAATGTGTTAGACAATTAATCGATCGTCGATTAATCGTTGACATCCCTACCTGGTATTAAGATGCATTTTGGTTGATCGGATCACAAGTGGGCGTGACGCTACATACAGGTGTAAACAGAGTCTAAAATGTTTTGAGCTTGTCCACTTTTGACCACTTCCAGAGGAAGCAGCTCATGTGGTCGAATGCATTCAAACAACCACAAAAGGCCACCTAGCCTACTGACCTAATGGGTAAACATTGTGGGAAGCGCGCTAGTAAGAATGGATTAAAACATTGTCGGCTGAGGATCTAAGATTGGTTTGAAGATGAAAAGCGTACCAAGCAAAATGTTCACACCATTGTTCACCGCGGTCGGGCGGCTGTCAAAACACAAATGAAAGATCCTATCTTTGTTTTTTCGTTGTCTCTTGGCACATTCATATATAAATTGCACAAGCTTATTTAGTCCATTAGATAAGAAGTGGTTGAAAGTGGACAGAAGAGACAGACTTAAAAACCAGGTGTAAACAGGGTCTAAATAACTAAAGATAGATGAAAAACAACCTAAATCTTTTAGATAGATTTAAATAAATAAAACAAATAACTAATGAAACAAAAATAACACATTTATACATGTATTACCTGACGGATTAATGAATTATATTTTGACAAGCAATCTTTCCCACAGAAATCCTCTTGCTTGCCATCAAAGACCTCCGACACCACAGTCTTTGAGGAGCTGTCACAGTAGAAGCAGTTGCGACAGTGTTTCTTCCCCCACCGCTTGAACAGGTTATGCTCAAAGAGTGACTTGCATCCTGTAGAGAAATAAATAAATAAATATACACACACAAGGTCACATATACAAACTGACAAGCCACATTTGTAAAACAAAAAAACAACAACACCTTTCCAAACAGTAAGATCTTAATAATGCTTTAGCTTACTCTCACTGCAGAAAGAACGGTCAACCTTGTTTATCCTCCTCACTGTTTTCAGAGTTTTATTGAGCTTGCAGTTTTCACAGCGAGCCACTGCATTGTTGATCCTTCTGAACTCCTCAATACAAGCATTACTACAGAAAGCATACATTTTCCTCTGAAAGACCAGAAAAAAAGAGGTTAGTCAACAACCAATAGTTTGGTTTGTTCTATTTTGTCTAAGCACTTTTAAATGACCTAAATAAAAGTAGCTGTATAGTTTCTTGAAAATAATACTGTAGTTTGGTTAACAACAATAATAATAAAAACAGGAACAAAAATAAAACCATTTTCAAGGGGAAATGAGATGAACTTTTTTTAAAAAAAAAAAATGTTCCTTTAGGTTCACTTTTGTTATAAAAAAGCTTTTTTGTACAAAAAAACCCAAACAATATGCATAAAAACATATTTTCTACCTTCATTCTGACCCTGAACTAGGGATGCAAATTATCGATTAATTCATTAATCATTTGTTGATCAACCTTAACGATCGATTAACGATTAACTGATAAGATTAACACCTTTAAGGCTAGTAAGTTAACAACCACTGTTATGAACCACTAAAGTCATTGCACAGGAAACAGCATCAACGGCAAGTAAGTGTTTTTAAAACATTATCCATATAAAACCATTTAAGTAATTTACAGACAAAGCATTTCGTATTTTTGCAGTTTGTAATGCAGCTGCTATCAGGTCCAAAAGAGTTGGCTGCTTCCTCTTTCAACAAAAGTTTCTTTGCAAACACTATTACAGAGTGCCTCATTTAGAAAAAACCAAAAGCTCTGAACTCTGACATGATCTGGAATGCATGCGTACAAAACTGAACGCGGATCTATATACTGTATTCAGTGATAATAATGGGTTATATTTGCTTTTGATGCTCACATCAAAGTGTGAAACGTCAGCCAGTGGGCGGGGCCTACGGTGCTATGATGTATATCTATTCGTCGTGTCTTGCACTGGAGGCAGTGATATACAAATGTATTTGTCACAGATCCCACAATATCAAACAAGCCAATTTTTGGAGCTTGATTAAATAAATGCTTTGTTTATTATGAAGAGGACACTAAGCTATGAGGTTTTGATGATGCAAAGACCACTTATACGTCAAAAGATCAAAGCAAACTTTATTTCTCATGTCGCGATCCCTTTAAAACCAAGTTTTATAATTGACCCAATAAAACAAGTGGGTCCGGTAGCAGTGCACAGAAGTACCTTGAACTCCAGAAGTTCTGGTCTGTGGAAGAATAAGTTCAGACACTGATAGCAGGGGATCTTGGTGACTGTCTGCACCGGACTACTGGGAGCGCTAGTCATTGTTGAGGAGATGGACTTTGATGAAGCAGGTTTGGGAGCAGCAGATTTTGTGGTAGATGTGTTGGTTGTAGATGTTGCCTTGTTCACCTGGTTGTTAGGTTTGGTCTTACTCAAGGATTCCTGAAACAAACAAAACAAAGATAAAAACAAACTAATATCATTCAAACTGTTCAACATGTACGATTCCTATAATACTATGAAGAAATGTCAGTGTCAGATATAATGGTACTATACCTTATGTGCTAGAAGACAGGAAAAAGAGCAGAAGTTCTGAACGGATCCATCAAACATGGCTATGTGGTACTGAGGTACTAGTTTCAGCTTGCAGTTCTTGCATTCCACTGGAATACCTTGTTTGGCATCCAGACAACAATGACATTTTTCAAACACCACACAGAAAAACAACAACAGTTGTGCATGTCAAATTGAATAAATGCATTAATGGCATTAAAATATAATTTATAAAAAGTACTTTAACTTTTTTGCATATAAAAATATGCATTAACGCTATATAAACTTAACTAATTTAACCAATGGATTTTATGATGCCTGGGTGACCATCTATACAGTCACGTATTTATCATAAAATGAAAATTCTGTCATCATTTACTCACCCTCAAGTCATTCCAAAACTGTATGACCTTCTCTTTTTCTGTGGAACACAAAAGAAGATATTTTGAAAATATGTTCAAGTATTGTTCGTTTATAGCTCTACACAATTAAAAAAAAGTCAATGGGGTCCAATGTTTTGTCAAAATATCTTCTGTTGTGTTCCACGGAAAAAAGAAAATTATACAGGTTTGAAACGATTTGAGGGTGAGGAAAAAATGCATTTTTTTTTAAAGTTCTAATTCTTATGGAGTTGACATTTCATAAAAACCTTAAATATACTCCCATACACTATATTGCACTTCAAAGTTTATACACAACCGTTCATAATTTGGGGGTCAGAAAGGTTTTACAATTTTACTCTGTAAAGAAGCATTACATGGATCAAGTGACAGTAAAGACATTTATTTTGCAAGATTTCTATTTCAATATATGCAGTTCTTTTTAAATTTATATTCCTTAAAATAAATCACATTTTCATTGTTTTCAGCATTCATAATAAAACAACTTTTTCTTGAGCAGCAAATCATCATATTAGAATGATTTCTGAAGAACAATGTGACGCTGAAGACTATAATGTAATGATGCTGAAAATTCAGCTTTGATCACAGGAATACATTTCATTTTAAAATACAGTATATAAATATAGAAAACAGTTACATGAAATTGTAATATTTCTGTTTTTCGGATTAAATAAAATTTCAAAAAGATTAAAAAAAAAATCTTACCAGCCTCAAACTTTTAATGGTATTGGCAAATATCTTAAAGAAATCATCAGTATTTATGCTCTGACTGCCAACAATTAATCACACAGAGTTGCGGTAAATCTATGTTCATGGTACCTGACGAACTGGTCTGGCCTTTACTCGCTGTGACACAGGAAGCAGAGCAGAAAAGCTCCCTGATGCCCACTGAGTTGGGACTGTCCACCGCATCTGCAGCCGGGCGCAGGGTGTGACACGTTTTGCAGGCGACAAGTTTCAGACTCCTCTATAAGTGAAGATCAATTTATTTATTTACACTTATAATTCACTGTAAAAGTGCCCCTATTATGCAATTTTAAAGTTTTCTTATTTTGTTTGTGAGGTCTCCTGCAAGTTTTACATGCATCAAAGGTCAAAAAACAGTTTCATTTTCTCATAATATACTTTGAACTAGGGCTGGACGATTAATCGGAAAATAAATCGAAACCGAAATTCTGACCCTGTGACCGACGTGATTTTACCATGTCGGTTATTTGGTTTTTTGAATCAGCCTAATGATGCAGTATAAAGGAGAACTCCGGCGAACAATGAACCTTTGGTCTAATAAAACATCGGTACATAGTCAACCGTTCTCTGAGATTTGTTTTCATAATAATCGAATGTAAAGAGTTTTATCTCTAAAAACTGTTTAGCGTAAAATGCTAGTAATGGGGGCATTGACTAAGTAAAAAGAAATCGCTGGTTTATACCACCAAAAGGGCTCAAAATAGCCTCACACTAACGCAGTAACATAATGAGGCTCCATACATAAAAAAAAAGAAGCATTGAGAACTTTGTAAGTGTACAGACCGTTTAATAAGAAGATACTTTATGAAGACAGTTCACTTCGCATATACAGACAGGAGCCATCTTAAAAAATAGTCTCGATAAGTCAAACCACGAACGTCGTGCTGAGTGACCTGAACTGTATGAAGTTCAGCGAACTTCTGAACTGTATGAACGGCGTTCGGGGATCGACTTATCGAGACTATTTTTTAAGATGGCTCCTGCCTGTATACGCAAAGTGAACTGTCTTCATAAAGTATCTTCTTATTAAACGGTCTGTACACTTACAAAGTTCTCAATGCTTCGTTTTGCATGTATGGAGCCTCATTATGTTACTGTGTGAGTGTGAGGCTATTTTGAGCCTTGTTAGTGGTATAAACTAGCGATTTCTTTTTACTTAGTCAATGCCCCCATTACTAGCATTATACGCTAAACAGTTTTTAGAGATAAAACTCTTTACATTCGATTATCAAGAAAACAAAACTCAGAGAACGATTGACTAGGTACCGATGTTTTATTAGACCAAAGGTTCATTGTTCGCCGGAGTTCTCCTTTAAGCCGGGATCATTCGCCAGCGTGAAATGGTACGTAACGCGCTAGTTTATGATCGAATCAGAGAAAAAAACAAGCGTGGTTTCACACAAGCTTGGTTTCTCGAGAAAGAAATCGCAGCTCATAAGCAAACTATAGACGCTGCTGAGACATGTCACGTCTTTGCGGTTTGTGTGTGAACACGCTCTCTGATTTCTCAAATACTGAATCAACAAAGCAACAGGAGCTGCTTGTACCAAAGAAACACAAAAAAGAGAGACTGACAAACGCCCAGCAACAAGTGCCTCCACTCCACAAAGCAGCTTTCGATAACACAAGCACTTACAATATGAAAAGGATTCATTTTTTAGTTTTATGCAAGTTATATTTTACTTTTAAGATGGCAATATTTACAATAATTTACAAAAAAACAAAAATAACTATTTTATACATTTTTAAATATTTAATAAGCATTAAAAGCTATCTGTGCGTTTCCACATCTTAGAATCTCAAAGATAGCATTTTGCACTCTTTCATTAGAAAAACGTATATATATTTACAGTATAAGCCTTGCCAGTGACATGAGAAAAAAAAAGTTCAATTATCGCAATCGAAGTGAGTTTGTTGGTGTGCTGCTTGGATAACAAAACCCCCATTACTGTATCTGAATTTCAGCTCCAGAGGCTTCCCCATCATTTTTTAAAAACAGTAACGTTGGCGTTAAGTATTTCCATAATAATTTCAGCTAGTCTTCATAATTTGAAGTGCAGCAATGTGGATTTTAAGAGACAATAACTTTATTTGTCGTGCCCTTTGGCCTTTAAAACTCAGCAGACCTTTTACAAATCACAAATGGCTATATCACACCCTGCATGAAAGGTAATATTTGAAAAAAATCATAATAGGGGCACTAGCTTAATGAGTCCTATTACTGTTCCCTTGCAGTTACCTGTTTAAAGGCTAGGAGGCAGTTTTGTTTGCAGAACTTCAAAACTCTGTCATCTATCCGCAGAGATGGACACTGACTGTCTGTGCCATAGCAGTATCCACCACAGTTCACACAGCTGTTCATGTTTAGCTTATTGGAGGTGCGGAACTGGTTGAAGCAGCTGTCGCTGCACAGCTTATGGATGGAGCCCTTGAAGTTCACTTCATGAATATGAGTCTGGGAAATGACACAATTTCAGATCTTTAAAAACTCAGCCACAAAAAGTATATTAATTATACAATTAAAGCAACAAAATATGCCTTCCCACTTTATAAAGTATATTTCAGATTAGGCACAAAAGAATCACAGCCCTGCATCTTGGGGGCAAATACTACTGATTTGCAAAAAGGGCCTAATATTACCTGTTTTGATAATGCAGAGTTAAAGGGGCTATGTGTAGGTTTTTACATTAAAAAAATCTTTAAGATAGTCTTCATTTGTACATTTATAAGCCAACTATAATGTAATAGAGAGAATGACACCTTGACTGTCCACCACGGTTGCCTCCATCAACCTGTAGGCAATTGTCTGTGGAGGAGTCGTACCTAATTGGCGTGAAAATTCACAAAATGTGACGTCTCTTCTACTTGGGCTTACATTAGTACGGCAGCCATTAGTAAGCTGTGGAAATCACTAGCAGTAGTGTTTCAAATGGACTCTGAGGACCAGCCTCCAACACAATCCAGAAACCCACAGAAACTCCTTGCAAGTGTTTTTTTTTTTCTAGTGCGGCCAACGAGTGTGCGCACAGAGAACGAGCATGAGACTGGCTGCAGTTTCTCTAATGGCCACTGGTGTCAGTAACAGTAAGAAGTTTCAGAACTTTCTCAAATCTCCTTTACAAAATAGCATTTTTTCATCACATAGTTTTGTATTTTTTCTTCACAAAATAAGGTAATTCTAAATGTATCTGCTTTAATGCACATATAAATATAGCAAAAGGAGTCAAATGTGAAAGTTTTGCTTTTAATGATAAATGGAAGAATTCCAGATGTACTATTTAGCATACAATCTGCAGTGGGGAAAAATAAATGTTTAAATACTAAACGACAATAAGTGTTGTCCTTAGCTACTTTTCCTATGAAACAAGTCTTAACAATTATGCCATTTTTAAAATCAACAATTAATATTGTTTTGGCGCTCTTTAATGTGACAGATCGCTGTAGTTCCTCAGTTTAAGCAGAATGTGAACTGATCATCTCTTCCTCTTTACTATTAAGTCATAGCACAAAATAAACATGAAGGATCATCAGAAGGTATGTTGTAAAAACCTGAAATGCATCACATCTCATGTTATTGCTCAATCACTGGAAAGACGTCAATAAAACAGCTTGTATCAGGTAACGTTACATTTGCCTCAGAAAAGCCATTCAATGACCATAACTTGTTAGGTTTGGGGCAGTAGTCAGTGTAACCAGTGTTACACTGTGTTCGGCTGAATAACAAATACATTACTTGCGTGGGACTGTTGTTATTGTTTTTTTAGAAAAATAAAAACCATTTAGTCGCAACAGGAATCAGATTTCACGTATCCTGAGAGTAAGAAGAGATGACCGACAGGACGATGTCATCGCATCTGCAAATATCTTGTAAAATGTGTGGCAGCAGCTCCCTATACACAGAGTACGTGTGACCGTGAATTCGACAGCGAAAGTGAAAAGTGAACGCGCATTCAATATGGATATCATTAACATGGATACAGACAGCGATACAATAATAGCACCCCCATGAATCGATATCAAATCAAATTAAATCGCAAGTTTGTGAATTGAAATCGAATTGTAGAAGTCTACTCACCCTTCCTGTCTTCTGACACACACTGCACTTGAAGTTTAAAGCACTGAGGCATTTCTGACTGCAAAACTCCTTCAAAGTCCCTGACATGTCCACCGGGCCAAATTTGGTGTTCTGCCCGTCACAAATCTCTCTGAAGGTAAAGAAGGTACATCAAGTCAATTCATTCCAGCAATCTACAACCATACAGTTGAATGAAATGTTGCAAGCATACTTAAGGCAGCAGTGACATGTTTTCGTCTTGCTGCTGCTGAGACATGCAGGTGAGCAAAAGAGTTTAGAAGAGCCACCGCGCTGGAACGCTGTTTGTCCCTTCAGCAGGACCTTATTACAGCCTGTGCACAGCAAACCAGCTCGCTTTAAAGGTTGAATAGGTTTGGCTGAGACGTCTACTGGATCTCCTGTGACATAAAGAGAATCAAGAATGCAAGAACTGACTTCAGACCCAAAATGTGCTTTTTATCCCGTTTAAACTATGGTTACTATGAAATTGTATTTTTGTGGTTTTGAAATTGAGGTTACACATGAGTTTGGAACAAATATGTACGTATATATATATATATATATATATATATATATATATATATGAAGAGTTCAGATGCATCTAAATGCCATTTGAAATTTTCTTCTTTAATGATGATTTTTATCAAACTTGTAAATTTAAGTTCAGTAATTTCACTTAAATAACAATTACTAGGTAATTATCATTGCCATTTAAGTGAAATTACTGAACTTAAATATACAAGTTTGATAAAAATGATCATTAAAGAAGAAAATTTCAAATGGCATTTTTGGCTTTTGCATCTGAACTCTTCATATATATACACACACACACATATATATATTAATATACATACATACATGCATACATACATATATATATATATATATATATATATATATATATATACACACACACACACACACATGTATATATACACACACACACACACACACACACATATACACACATATATATATATATATATATATATATATACATATATATACATACATACACTGTTTTTTGAAAGGATATAAAACTACAAAAGTTACAGGAAAATGCATAAAAAAGATTAATAAACATACACACATATACATACATACACTCTTTTTTTGAACGGATATAAAACTACAAAAGTTACAGGAAAATGCAAAAAAAAAGATTAATAAATAAAACAAGTTTTCTTAGCTACAACATAAGGTTTATTTCAATTGACCGTTATATTGGACTGGTACAGCATGAATAAATAAATAATCAGGTCTACAGAACAGGACATGTTTTACTAGTTGTGTACACTACAGTGTAAAAAACAACAACTAAATAGCAAGTCTACAGAACACACCTAGCCACTTTATGCGTTTTCGACCGGATAGCCATCTGATCGTGAAAAGACCAGGTGCAAATGCCCTCTGAAACGCATTTGTGACGTATTTGAATATAATCGCTCAAACAATTTCAGAAAAAACGCTAAAAATGAGAACGTTACAGGCTTGTCATTTTATGGCCAGATATGACGACGTGGGTGACTGCAACGCATCACCGCAGATGAGCAGCTGAGAATTTCTTACTCAAGCCAACACGCAAACTATCGCAAATCAAAGTGAAAGTAAGTCGCGGACGCTTTTCACAGTTATCTTCATCAAAAGTAAATAAACGAAATGATCTTATTTTACCTGATGATCGTAAAATAAAGCTCATAACTGTTGCTTTCGGTGACGTGCACTCCATTAAATCTGCATATAGCGCGGGAATTGAAGATCGTATTTTGATAAATCAGATAGCTATCCAATCAGTGAAAACGCATGAAGTTGCCAGGTGGCCTGATGTTTATACTTGTGCGCGTCGGGCCGGCAAGTGTGTGTGTGTGTGTGGGGGGGGGACTGTGTGGTAGTAGAGCAAGGGAGAAGTAAGAGAGTGACGGCGATTAGCTTTGGAGCGAGTAGCGACTCTATATTGAGAAAAACAAAGCATCTTCCCTGTTCTTTCTGACCACTATGGGAAATCTGTAGCAAGAAAAGTTAAACCTCTCCTTGATTTCATGTTTATGGAGAAGGAAAATCAGGAAATGAGTCGGGGGAAATGCAACAGTGCATGTCGGCTCGGACGCATCATAAACAAAATATTGCATAAATATCGCGAGACTTTCGAAATGTATATCGAGCAACGTGATATTGCGATAACGATATTGATTCTATATATTGTGCACCCCTAATATATATAGCTTACAAAAACAGTAAGGCTTATACCAATGGATACGTTGGAAGTATTTACTCCATCAGACAATGCAGCTGTCATCACATCATCAGGTGTTTGGTCAAAATCCTGTAAGGAGAAACACATTGGGTGTTTCAACAATAATAGAAAATAGGTGGCTAACATCAGAAAATTAATATAAAAAGCCAAAGATCAATTTTCAGCATTACTCCAGTCTTCAATGTCACATGATCGTTCAGAAAGCATTCTGATATGCTGTTTTGGTGCTCAAAAACATTTCTTATAATTATCAATCTATTATCAAAACAGTTGTACAGCTTAATGTTTTTTTTTTTAAGAACAGTGATGCAGTTCTATAGAATTTTCCATTCATCAAATTTAATTATTTAAAATAAACTGTTTGTGACATTATGTCTTTTGATCTATTTAAGGCATCCTTGTTCAATAAAAGTATTAATTTCTTTAAAAAAGAAACTTACTGAGCCCAAACTTTTGAATGGTAGTTAATGTTGCTTGACAAATTAATTTTATGACAAAAACAAACGAATGCTAATTTAAATTTCGGTATCCTTCATAAAAGTCTCCAGCAAATCACCTCATCATCCTTAATGTTTCTCCCTGGGGTCTGTGGTGCTCTCCTCCACTCTTCATCCATTGGTTCATCCTTGATCTTCAAATGTAGAACGACAGAGGTAGCTTTAATTTTTTGTCAACAGCATGTGTTTGATGGATAAACTTAATTTTATGTGCTCCATGGATTAGCAAACAGACTCAAACTTATTTACCCTCAGCAGTAAACATTAAACATAGATCCTGTGCTTACCGTAAGAGCAGACGATTCCTTAGTCCTGGTATTTACGTCTTTGGCTTTCTTTGTTTCTGTTAAACAAGAAAAGTATACAAATCATGTTAAAATATAACAAAAATAAACAGTATAACACATTATTGCTTAATGTAAAGTTTTACAGAAACAGGATTTTCAACCAACTAAAATGCAATCATTGATTGGTTGAATTACCTGCATCTGCTGGTCCATCAAATTCCATCTTCTCATTGTAATCCTCATTCTCGTCCACTGCCATTTCATTCATGCAGTCCTCAACTTTAGTGATCACAAGCTCTTGTGGAGATTGTGCTGTGTCTTCTGCGTCGAACTCTCCATCCTCTGATTCAATGGCTTCATTCTTATGCTCACCTTGTCCCAGTACACTCTTCCTTACCTCTCTGTCTAGAGGATTGCCTTCTGAAGTAGCAGTAGAATCCATGCTGACATTTTCATCAAGATTTCCCATCTCTGCAGGATCATTCTGAAAGAAAACAGCCAGAGAAGCAATATTACAAACAAGAAGTAAAACCTGCTCACTAATGGCTCGTTTCCACTGAGCGGTACGATACGCAATTATTTGCGTTTCCACTGTCAAAAGTTGTGAATGGTACCAAAAAGCCGAACCGTGCCACATTTTGGGTACCCATCCGTTGGGGTACCTAGCACAGTGGTACGGTACTAAAAGGTGGAGCTGGACTCACTGCAGAACGGTGATTGGTTGACAGTATCGTCACTTGCGCTTGCTACATGGGCATTTGAAGCGCCATTTTTTAAATATATTTGAAATTCATAAAATGTAGTTTTAAGAGTTTTTCAGGTGGGAAAGCAGTTTTTTAAAGCTCAAATCTGTGGTTTATTTATAGATTTGTAAAAATTTGACTGATATCCATTCCAAGCGATCACCGGACGCTCGGCACTCAAGCGCCGCGCCTGGAGCAGCCTTTCCTCGGCTAGTCATTCTGGTGTTTGCCGCTGACTCTGACGTCTCTGTAGTGGTTAAACGTGAGACATAATTTGTCTTGTATAGACCTAACAGGCGATCTTTGGTCTCGTGAATCTATAATTCGTTCCCTGGCCAATAGTTTCATAAATCCGAGCTAACAGGTGACTAAAAACAACATGACATCATGACTTTTGCATAAACATACTCGCCACTTTCGAGTCAAGTGGCGTGTTATATCTACGCATTTTGAGCTATCCGCGTGTACGTCTACGCCATTAACGTCCGAGTGATTCCACGTGTCTGTACACGCCGTCAAATGTCTGCGCGAAATGAAGCAAAATGTAGATCTACATCTGGGGAGCAATCTTTTTTTTCCCTAGGATGGTAAGGGAACAGTCATAAATGCCATTAACCCCAGTGGCGGTTAAGTTTAGGGACGGGGTTGCGGTAAGTCATATATTTATACAGTAATAACGTTAAGTCAACGGCATTCACAAACACGCTGAAAAGCGATTATGCGTCTTGATAGCACGGCAAAAATGGAAATGAGAATTGGCGCGTCATACACACGCTACTTCATGAGATCAGTCTGCAAAAAAAGTCATTGAGTCCTGTCCTCTTGTAGATCCCTCTGGTGACAAATATCAGGAAGAAAAAAAAAAGAAAAAAATCACTACAGTGTACTGCAGCTCCTCGTGTTCCAGTCGAATACCAATTATATCATCCATGGTTTTATCAATCACATTAAAGCCACAATATGTATTTTTTCTGCTTTAAAAATAGCAAAAATAACTATCTATGTTATATATTTCTATTAGATGTGTACTTACATTATCCCGACAGTTTCCACCAACTTTAAAATACTGAGAAATTTATACTTTAATTCGAAGACACGGGACGTTTCTTTATTTCCGTTTCGTCGCCTGTCTATGGCGTCATATAACCTTTGACTCCTCTATTTTCTCTAACTTCCTGTGGAACCCGGCGAAACCCGCCAAACACAAAGGGGAACACTGGACTACCGCCAATAAAGCAAAGAAAATGATGAAGAAAAAAAAGTTGTACGTATTTTTATGTGTGTAAATCACGTGCCCGCTCACGAGCGCTCACTCTTAACAGACACACTGTCCCCGGTGCTGCTCGCGCATAAAGTGCTCCCCGTTCACAGTAACCAGGTCGTCTCATTCAAATCAGCCAGCTGTTGCTGTTAGCGAGCTGCGCACATTGAATACTCATATGAGTCAGGCTGTGAATGTACGTGCCCGCTTCAGCGGGCTCATGCTTACTAAATAAACGCCTCACCTCCGGCGCCGCACACTCACTACATTCCCTTTAGCACATAGTGAATGAATAACGCAAACCCAGTCAAACGTTTGACTGCAGTATCTTATGTGCCTTATAATCCGGTGCGCCCTATAAATGAAAAATGTTCTAAATAGGTCATACATTGAAGGGGCATAATATAAATATTTATATTCATCTGCATTATAGTTATGGACTACGATTACGCTTTGCCTGCACGTTCTGCTGCTACAGCCAGCTCAGTAAAGCTCAAACATACGGGTGAAAAATATGACCCGAGAAGGTTTTGGGACAGGAGAAGCATGACACAGGTAAACATTGGGGTTGCATTTAAAGCTTCTTGACAAGCTAAATCTACAGAGAGATGCCGTATATCCGTATATTTTGTGAAACAATGATGTCATGAAATGAGCTAAGCTGGTTGTCATTGACAGCGACAACAACTCCCGTGAGCCCACGCTCTTTCCCGACGTCATCAAACAACGTCTTTTGTTATTATTTTAAATGAGTGACCCCTGGTGGCCAAAAATTGCATACTGTACGTTTAACTCTAAAATATTCCATCAAATTATTTTTAACCAAAATCCCAACACCTCCTAAAGCCTTTATAGCTCTTACATGTATCTTTATATATTACCAAACCAAAGATAATCTAGTTCTGGGATTTTTGCTCACCGTTCTCATGATCATTTTGACCCCACGGGATGAGATCTTGCGTGGAGCCCCAGATCGAGGGAGATTATCAGTGGTCTTGTATGTCTTCCATTTTCTTACAATTGCTCCCACAGTTGATTTTTTCACACCAAGCTGCTTGCCTATTGTAGATTCACTCTTCCCAGCCTGGTGCAGGTCTACAATTTTCTTCCTGGTGTCCTTCGACAGCTCTTTGGTCTTGGCCATGGTTGGGTTTGGAGTGTGACTGTTTGAGGCTGTGAACAGGTGTCTTTTATACAGATAACGGGTTCAAACAGGTGCCAATAATACAGGTAACGAGTGGAGTAGGGCTGTAGTGAACCAAAGAAATCCTTTGTCGACCAAAGTCTTGTCCTGCGCAACGATTAGTCGAAGGAAAAAAAAAAAAGATGCGAAGTTTTGATTGAACATTTTTTTAACAATTGTCATAGAGCATTTATAAAACAACGGGAAAAAAACCCCATCAAAAATACAAAAAAAAAAACTATACAATTCTTTGAAAATTATTTTAAGATATATTTTTTAACTGCAAAAAGTGAGGAGCAATGTCCTACATCTAGGCTATAGTAACAGTCACAATCGCGCACCTGAACACACCACTCAGTACAAAAAATATAATAAAAAATCCAAACAAAAGCTCTCGTTTATACAGGCTGTATATTCTTCTTTACTTTAGCTATGGGTTAACTTTTGTCCAGCCGAACTAGGCATTTTAAAACAAACACACAAAAAACCCAAAGAGCCTAAAAAACAATTATAGGCTGTATTGTAGGGCCGCATTTAGGTTTATTTTCGTTTTGTTAGATTACTTAGGCTATTTTCAAATGTGTCAAGTCTACAAATGAAAACAATCTATGAAGTCAGCATGATAAGGCCATTCAAATGACTGCTCATGTCTTTTGCGCGCTCAAGTTCGGTTTCAAATGTATGCATGCGGTGTGCGCGCTCATAATGTAAGCAACGCGGTCGCGGTGCAACGCGCTCTTTTTTGTTATTCAAGTGCGTCCACGCTGCATCGAGATAAAAACATACAGTGTATAAAAACCAAAACAAGTAGCGTCCTAACTGAATGAATACAGCTAAACTACCTATATTCCTTAAGCCCCTTTCACACAGAGATTCCAAATACACAAAATACACTGATAATGTGTATTTTGGCGATACACAAAATACACTGATAATGTGACCCGGCATTTGTCCCGGGGTCGTTTGATTTCGGGTTCATTCACACTGCCAGTGATTTGCCGGGATCTGTGAGTGCATTCACACACAACCCGTAAAGATCCCGGAAAGACACATGACGTCAGGATGAGATGTGTAACACATGCGTCCAAAACATGTACACGCGCATACCGTTCCACAAAACTGGTGAACAATCTCAGCTTCAGCGCGGATAGTGAGGAGCTCCTGGTCTCTGCTTCGCTCCAGTTTGCAGACATTACTGTTCGTCCTTTCTTTATTGATGACGAACACAAACTTTCTTCTAAGAGCAACAGAGTCGCGCTATGACACACCCCCTTACGGTATTGGTCCTGGCTTTTGTTCACACAGCACGCGTTCCGGGACTGATTCCGGCAATATTACTAGGTCTCCAACCCGGGATCAGTCCCAGTATCAATCCCGGGTCATGTTTGCGTTCACACAGAAGGCGTTCTGGCAATTTCCCGGGATCAACGAGCTGTGTGAAAGGGGCTTTACTGAGCGCGAAGCAGCCGCGCAGCCAGCCACAGGTGCGAACCGAGTGTTCTATGTGTGTGCGCTAAACTGTGGCGCTGTTACAAAATAGCCTAAATTAAAGCATTTATATTTGGGGATTAAACAAAGGCTAATTATATTTAGAATAAAATAATATATAACTGCTTATAAAAAGGTATAAATATCATTGAGTAATTTATTATAGTATCATTGAACATTTATTTCTATTGGCTTAAAAATATATAAAAAATAAATAAAAAGCAACTGGTCGACCAATAAGAATGTCAGTCGACCGATTAGTCGACTAAACGACTAAAGTTGACAGCCCTAGAGTGGAGGACAGAAGAGGTTCTTACACCGTGTCCTAACTACACGCGACGCGACACGCAATAAAAGGTATCTTTTCCATGTTAATCAGAGTTTTTGTCATAACCAGACGCGACGGCGACACGCGAAATTTCTAATTTAGAAACATTTCCTATTTCTGCCACGTCGCAGCTGACAGAATGAAGAAATTACACTAGTTATGAGTACACATTATATTTATTTTTAGTTAAAAATAGGTCACTGTGACACGAGCGATAACGGATAATTTACCTCAGATTTTGAAAGCATGTAATATAGCGTTCAAAATGAATTCTATGCAAACATATGACTGTACTTCATAACAAAATTAGTCAATGAGTATATTTTGTTAATGTTTTGATTTTTAATAATGTTATTTCTTGATTTGATTATGTCCATACCCATATTCAATGCAAGTGCGGGCCAACAGTGCGCTTTCACAAAGAGACTCTGCTCACACGCTGTTCTGAATGTGTGGCATCTCACAGTCGCGTCTAGTGTGTGGACAGACACACTTGCTGTCGCTGGAATTTTATCGCGTCGCGTGCAGTTAAGACACGGTGTTAAAGGGTTAGTTCACCCAAAAATGGAAATTCTGTCAGCATTTACTCACCCTCATGTTGTTCCAAACCTCTATGCGTTTATTTTTTCTGCTGAACACAAAGGAAGATATTTGGAAGAATGTTTTAAATCAAACAGATCTCATTCCCCGTTGACTACCATAGTAGGAAAAAATACATACTATGGTAGTCAATGGGGAATGAGATCTGTTTGATTAAAACATTCTTCCAAATATCTTCCTTTCTGTTCAGCAGAACAAATAAACACATAGAGAACAACATGAGGGTGAGTAAATACTGACAGAATTTTCATTTTTGGGTGAACTAACCCTTTAAAGAAGTTACAGGTCTGTGAAAACCAGAAATCTTGCTAGTTTGTGGGTGACCAAATACTTACTTTCCACCATAATTTACAAATAATTTTTTCTACAATGTGATTTCCTGGATTTCTTTTCTCATTTTGTCTCTCATAGTTGAACTGTACATATGATGAAAATTACAGACCTTTCTCATTATTCTAAGTAGGAGAACTTGCACAATCAGTGGCTGACTAAATACTTTTTGGCCCCTGTATTGCCTGGAATGTTTAATATTTATAAATTTAAATAAAAAGAGGCAGGGTTGTGTTTTATATTTAGTTTTGTTTTAAATATATACCGTACAGTGAATATAATTAATAGGCTATGCGTTGCCTGAACCACATTTGTGTGCTTATAATGTTTAAAATGTATTTAAATGAAATCGAAAAGAAGCAAAGTGGTGTTTGACATATTTAGTTTTATTGTTGCCTAAAATGTACATAGAGAGATAGCCGGAGCTGCAGAGCGAGCTGCGTGGCGCATTCAAGAATGCACTGTTCCAATAGCAGAATTACTGGACTCGTGTCCTCAGGACTCTCCTGAGTCAGGCTTTGCGTTGGCTACTTGGTATTGAGAAACGCCTAATGTCAGCGCTTGTTTCTTGTGACAAACATGCCGAGAAGCAAGAACAAGATCTGCTGTATGTCATCCATTGTTGTTTACTATGTCGCTTTCTTCGCGCAAAAATGACGTCGACCGCTTCTTTCAGGCAAACACCACGCCTATCAAGTAAGGGTACTGTTGGCGGTGGAAACGCAAGCCGGATCATGGTTTACCGACCCGACCTGGGGTGCGTTTCCCGAAAGCATCGTTAGCCAACTATGGTCGCAAGTTCTGTCATTACCAATAGAGTTCAATGGAAATTGCGACCAACTTGCGACCATAGTTGGCTAACGATGCTTTCGGGAAACGCACCCCTGTACCGTACCATACCGCTCAGTGGAAACGAGTCATTACTATCACTGTGAGAGAACATATGCGAGGACTTACCACTTGGTAGTACCATGTGGGGGGAAGAGCGTAGTAGGTTCCAGATTTAGATGGAGATGGAGATGTTGACTGATTTGTAACAGTTAATATGAGTTTTGACTGACGTTGGCCACGTCGTACAGGGCAGGTTCTGTGGTTCCTTTGCCTTCCTGAAGTTGACTGAATATCATCTGCGAGATGTACCTCCTCTTCTTCCTTTATATCTCCACAGTCATCTGCCGACAGGGCGTCTGGATCACTCACAATCTCCTAAAACGGCAGCAAACAGAAGAAGGTTATATGAATAGATCAACCAAATATGAAAATTCTGTCATTTACACAGCCTCATGCAGTTTCAAACCTGCATGTTTTTATGATCACTTCTGAATCTGAACACAACAAAAATGATTATTTTCTGTATAATGGCAGTTTATGTTGACCATTGAGTCTCAAATTACAAAACTAAAAGAACAAAAGCACAATAACAGTAGTCCATATGACTTGTGTAGCATTTTCCAAATCTTCTGAAGCCATACTATTACATTGTTGAATTTTTCTTTATTGAAGACAGAACAAGTAGCCAACATAGGACTGCTTAAAATAGTACAATACAAAATGTAGCATTATTTATAAACAGGGGATCCGAAAATTACAATTACTACTAATTTATTACTCTGATTGTATTCATCTGAAAAAATGGCATACTGTATACACCTAGGACGACTTGAAGGTGAATACATCAGGGGCTAATTTTCATTTTCGGGCGAAAAGATGGGAATGTATTTATGCAGTTTTGTTTATGTATATGAAATTGACAGACATTCAAATAAATTAAAATATTGCAGACCTTTACTTATATTGTTCTCACAATACCATCATCCTATAATATAAAATAGTATTTAATCTTTACTAAATTAAAGGTAATTTCTACAGATTCCCAACAAAAACTTTGGATATGTTACAATGAACAAAGTAAGTCAACACTCATTTTCTACAAGCTGCTATTTTATTTTGAAAAATAGTACAAATGTTTGTTTTAGCATTCTTCTCTATCACGTATAAGTCCAAGTTATGGAAGCATTGGTATAGTTGTCTCCTCTGAAGTTGTATTTGTTTTTATTATTATATTGTATTGTGTACTGTTTTTTGTTTTTTTTTTTGGGACCGGTGAGTCAGTAATAAAGTTTATTATTATTTCAATCATTTCAACAATGTTTAATATTAAGTTGGTTTAAAGTCAAGACCAATGACAACAATTGACGTTATGAGAAAGTGACAATTCCCAAAGAAAAGACTTTAGAATGCAAAAAATGGAATATGATCAATGAGTCAATATGAGAATAAGACAACCACATAATCATAAACAGATTTTGGAATATCTAAAAAATAAATAATGTAAAATCAATAGATTGTTAAAGGGACAGTTTACCCCCCGAAAAATCTTTTCAATTTCTTTTCCGTAACCTCTCTTGCCTTCAATATCTACCATCTTAATAACGATTGTAAATCTTAATAAATCGTCGTCAATCTCGTTCGATAAATAACAGCAGGATGACGAGCTTCACACACACACACACACCTCGATTTGATGCCCAGGCACAGCGGTTGAATTCAGAAATCGTCGAGTTGGTCCCGTGAGATCGTCTGGTGAAAAATGGACACTGCAAACCCTCAATGCGCGGACAGATTCAATGGGTGAGTTAATATCCCGTTTGAGAGCGAGCAGCCACAGCTTCAGTCTCTCTGGATCATGCAGCGGCAATGTGTGGAAGATCAAACTTTCCTTGTGTGACGATGCCGTTGGACGGAGTCTAATTGCTTTCTCTCGGTTGAAACATCCAGGAAAAGCGCACACGCGTACCATAGCAGGGAAAAAATCGAATTACGCTTTGATGGGACGTACCGCTACGAGCAACGTAAAGCAGCCATCTTTGAAGAGAAGCGGAACGAGACTTGCAATCTATTGCATTGCACAAGACATCCGTCTATTCCTCTTATATGGCAATCTTTATGAGGCTTAGATGTGCACGAGTCATGTGAGCTATTGTTATGGTACTTTCTGGAGCTTGACAGCTCATTTCATCATCCACTTGTCGTATGGAAAAGGCAGAGAGCAGCCTGAAACTCTTGTGGTTGTTTACAAAGCAACATATGGTGCATTTCCGCCATCTACTGGATTGGTGCCGCAGACTAAAAGGATAATCCACTTCAAAATGAAAATTCTGTCATGTACAACTGAACTCACCCTCAAGTTGTTTCAAACCTGTATGAATTTCTCTCTTCTTCTGAACAAAAAGATGATATTTTGAAGTTTGTCAGTAACCAAACAGTTAATTGGATCCACAGACTTCAATAATATTTTATTTTTCCTACCATTGAAGTCAATGGGTCCAGTTAACTGTCTGGTAACTGATATTCTTCAAAATATCTTCCTTTGTGTTCATAAAAATATATATATTTTTTATTATTTTTACATTTAATAGCGTATTTATTTTTTAGTAGGTGGCAGATCCACTGCGAGGAGAACTGTCCAGCTTACCTGCACCTTTTTCACTCCTCCCCTTGCTACAGATGCCTACTCTCACATACATTTCAGGCGAGGCAAGGCGCATATCAAACAAGTCTGTTCCTTAAAGGAAAACTGCACAGTTATTTGAAATAGGGCTTATTCACAGCGTCCTCTACATTAAAATAGTTTGGCAAAAGCACTTTTTTTTCAAAGTGCATGCATTGTCTTAGTTTGGCAGCACCGACGCTAGCTTAGCTTACATAAATGAAGGGAATCCTATGTTGCCAAGTAGCTTGTCGTGAGTAAAAGTGACAAAAAAACCTAATTAATTCTTGTGGCCTGTGTATTCACGAGTACAAATAGCATTTCAAATTAAGACTAGGCGATTAAAAAGGCAGATATTGACTTGGGACTATATTAGGGTGAATCACAGGCGATGCACTAAGTCATATCACGCAACACCTGAAGGTCGTATAACAGGACTATTTAAGCACTATGAAATTAGAAACCGGACACTATCAGTGTTTCATGTAGAAAGAAAAGGGTTCCTTCTACCATTCCGATTCACTGAATTAGCTGCCAAACGTTGCAGTTCATGAATAGGATCTATAATATAAACAATGCAGAATGTTCTGCTACTTTGGTCGAACTCAATGTAGCCTTCTATGTAATAGTTATACTATAACTCTTGAGTCATCAGAACCTGGTAAAAAGCATTGAGAGAAATATAGCTAGCCCTCAGTCATTTTTTTTACAATAATGTTGTTCATGCTAAACAGGTTGAACTCAACATGAGGTTATAATAGATGAGTCAATTTGAACCATATTTTATATACAGCTTCTCAGTGCTCATCTTACAAAGGAATAAAGATACAGATTCACGCAAGGAAGAGTAATAAAAGACAATAATAAAAACTTACATCTGCCCTTTTTTCCGCCTGTACGTTGAAAATGGATGGGACGGCCGTATGCTTCAGACGTAGTACCGTCTTTCTGGGCCCATATAGCATTTTTTCAACATAGTCCTCCGGTGCAAAATGCTCTTCACAAACACGATACTGGCTAATTTTATTGTGAGGTGTTGAACAGATATCCAGAGCAGCTAGCCATCTATTTCTCAGTTCCACATTCGGTGGAATTCTGTGAAACATTACATTCGTGTATGTCCTTTGCTTGTTCTCGCAACCTTTTGCAATGCAGGTAATTACCATGTTTGCTGTAACTTTTCAAACTAAATCCAAAAGCGAAAGATTCTCGGTGCATTTCAGGTCACGCCGATATGTTGACGGAAGTTGGGATATTTCGCGTGATATGACTGCGCCAAAGTAGCAGTGCTTCGCCTGTGATTCACTCTAATATAGTCCCAAATCAATATCTGTCTATTTAATTGCCTAGCCTTAGTCTTATTTGTACTCGTTGTGAATACACAGGCCACAAGTAGTAATTAGTTTTTTTTTTGTTTAATCACTTTTCCTCACGACATGTTCCTTGGCAACATAGGATTCCATTCATTATGCTAAGCTAAGCTAGCGTCGGCGCTGCCAAACTAAGACAATGCATGCAATTTGAGAAAAATGCTTTTGCCAAACTATTTTAATGTAGGGGACACTGTGAATAAGTTCTATTAAAAAATTTAAAAAAATAAAAAAAACAGTGGAGTGTTCCTTTAAGACGAGTTGATACATAACGTTACCTCTCTCGTCTCAGTGAGCGCACTCTTTCGATCTTGGTAGCACGTAACGCCTAGCCACATTCATTCATTAGTATTCAAACAGAGATGAAGTTAGATGCGACCAAACACCTCCATTTTTTCCCTATTTAAATACAGTAACACGTCCATTTATGGTGAGAAAATAAAACGTGGCGCTTTTCTAAGCGTGTAAAATGGATAACTACACTTCGACTCGGCGCAGTGATCACTCCTCATTTCCGTCAATAGAACCAACGTGACTTTTACTTCTACCTGTGCTACTAGCAAACTGGACCACCATGCAAAAAGACACTTACAGCGTTGGGTGATGGTCCACTTTGTTTTGTTCGTGATTTGAATATTGTCGGCGTGGCCGTATCCTTTAGGCGTAATCCTGTGGAGGTATAGTCCTCCTGTGTGAAATGCTCGGAGCAAACACGCCACTTCCTCAGAGTCTCCAACGGTATTTTTGGATTCCTGTTCAAGAAAGCTAACCAAAGCTTTCGCCGTTTGTGGTGATTTGGAATTCTGTGAAACATGACGGGACTATATACCTTCTCCTTGTTATCACAACCCTTTACGATGCACGTTATAACCATGATTGTTCACAAACTATCTTCCTACAACCTGACACCTCGTCAACACCTGCTAAACTACTACTGCTAGAGCAGGTTACGTTCTATTGACGGAAATGAGAGGGAGAGGATTTTTCAGGGGTGATGATATTACTGCGCCGAGTCGAAGTGCTCCCAAGTGGTATTCCGCCATTCATTATAGTTATCCATTTTACACGCTTAGAAAAGCGCCAAGTTTTATTTTGTGTCACCATACTTGGTCGTGTAACTGTATTTAAATAGGGAAAATGTGGAGGTGTTTAGTCGCTTTTCTGTTTGGATCCCAATGAATGAACTGGCTAAGCTACCAAAGTGTCGACGCGCGCCAGAGCGATTGGGTGCACGCGCTGAGACGAGAGGTATACATGCAGCATCAGCTCGTCTTAGTAGGGAATAACAGTTTAATATGAAAGAAAAAAAAACGGTGGAGTTTTGCATTCATTCAAGATCATAAAAATCTTATTTTCTAAACGTCTATTTGACATCTGACCGGAGAAGTCTCGGAGACATTGCAGATGAGCAAACGCTCTAAAAAAATACGTCTTGACGATGCAAATGCAGACATCAAAATATACAGCAATACGTCTGAGCATGAACGCAGTGACACGGGGAATTATTGTAATACATAGTGGACAAAAAGTACACACATTATGAAACATGTTGACAAGAAAACTCAATTGATGCATCGAATATATTATGAAACATGCATAACTTACACCTGCTTGCTGTAAAAACGGCTTGGGCACAGCCGACGGTTTCAGAAAACGACGCTTTCCTTGCTCGGACGGGTTGAAATCACTGTCGAGAAAATGATCACTGCACACTCTCTTAACTATCAGAGAATGTACGGGTGTGTTGTTGACATCCAGCAGCAGCGCGAGACACCACAGCTTCAGTCGCTCAGGATTGTGTGTAGGTAATCTGTGAAAACTCACGTCTTTTCCTTGGGGAAAATATCTTTTAGGTTTCAAAAGATTAAAACAGCCAGGATACGCACACGTACGGACCATTTTTAAAGCCTAAACTGATACAAATACATATGTTTTCATTCAACATACCATAACTTTTAAACGGTCGCCTTCTTCTGTTATTTAAATGGCGGTTGGCAAACCAACTTTAAGGTGCATTTTCCGCCAACTACTGGTTTGGAGTGTGAAGCACAGCTTGGTTAAAGGCTCACCAAAATCTATATTGAATCTGAATCTATATTTATCTTTCAAAAGAGAGCTATAAGAATTGTTAATAAAACCACTTATAGAGCACCAACTACTCCATTGTTTATTAGATTAAAAGAAATATTTAGAGATATTGTTGACTTTAAAACTGCACAAATTAAATAATCAACAGCTATCAACCAGTATTCAAGGGTTGTTCCAAATGAGAGAGAGCAACATTACTTAAGAGGAACATTTTGTATTTAAAAAGAAATATAAGAACGAATTCTAAATATCACTGCATCACTACAAAAGGAGTGAATGTATGGAACAGCTGCAGTGAAGAGATGAAATCATGTACAATTATGAGTAAATTCAAAAAAATATTTAAACTGAAGATATTAAAAGAATATGAAAAGGCCTCGAAGTGATAGTATTGTACAATAGTATAATATTGCATGCATGTAGGTATGCATTTGTTTCTTTGTGAATGCATAGGTTTATGTGAACAGAAGGTAAGTTGATATACAGTCTATGTAAAGACGCATATATAAGAGAAGCGTCAAATTGTTTTGTATTTAACTAAAGGATAAAAATAAAGAAAGAGGTAGGACCTGAAAAGTTTGTTATGAACGTCTTCCTACTCCTTTTTGAACATGGGAATTTCTAATTTGAATAACCTATATTAATTTTGGAAGTTTGCGCTGAGAAGCACATTACCTTAAATAACTATTATTTTAATTTTATTTTTATATATGAACGCAATCAACGCATGTGTGTATATTTCTTATTTGTATGTTTTCTACATGTTCAAAATTAACTACTACTAATATACTTCTTCCATAGTAGAAAAAAAAGAAATACTATGAAAGTCAATGGTGATCGAATATAAAATGTTCTTCCTTTGTGTTCAGTGGAAGAAAGAAACTCATACAGGTTTGCAACAACTTGAGGGTGACTAAATGATGACAGAATTTTCCTTTTTGGGTGGAGTATTCCTTTAATTCTCTGATGCACGGATGCACCCACCGCTAGCCTAGCTTAGCACAAATACTGGAGTCAAACGGCTCCATCTAGCCTGCTGCTCCCAATAAGTGACAAAATAACGCCAACATTTTCGAATTTAAATGTTGTGGTTTACATAGTAACAGTGTGTACAAATAACAAGGTCACATGAGACACAGCCATCCGTATACTGGGAACTATATTCTCAGATGATTTGTCGATTTAAT